ACGAAACGCTTGGGTGCTGTCGGTGCTACTCGCTGTCCAGGGTGGGGACCGCGTGATCCTCACTGTGCCTGGTTGGAGGCACTACAAGATATGGCTGCCAACCGATGTCAGTGGCGTTCTTGTCAGTTTCCATCCAGATTGCCTGAGTGAATGTCTGGAGGTGTAGGCACCTCGGAATGATTGTGGTAAGATATCACTAAGTCCCTTCCCTGTCCACCTTTACTCTTTGCTTTACAATAAGGCTTTCAACTAAATCGTAGTTGTGCGGCAGTGAAGCATCGGTGTTGAACACTGATGTCATGCTGTCGATGATGATGATGGCAGACTTTTGTTGCCCTTATTATTCACAACCTGTCTTTTTTCGCAAACTCTTCAGTGACATCACGCCTGAGGATATGGCTGAGTATCAGCGGGGCTACTACGAGTACTTGCAACAGTTCTACATGAACAGCAGCGATTATTGCCCAGTGACAAACCCATCTTCTGTTCCGTTCGTGAATTTTCCGTTTCAGAGTAAGTTGATCCATTTTTGTATTGACGCCTGTCTGCTGATTGCACGGTTGCTTGTGGAAGCTCAAGTTAGCTCACGCCCGAGAATAGGAACGAAAGGATATTGGTTCGTATTTAGGCTTGGTGCTACGCATGCCGATACAGTGTCTTCCGAGACAAGCGTTGTTTCCCGTGTTTCCTTCAGCCCAATCCGCGAGGTGGACAACGTATGATTTGGCAAGAGGGTGTGAAAGAGATCAGTAGGAGTTTGGCTGTTGTTGATTGGGGTCCCCGTAACCCCTCTTGTGCTTGGCTAGGGACACTGCAAGAAATGGTGACTGTAGTGTAGTTCGTGTTGTCACTTTCTTTCCAGATTGTCTGATTCAGCGCTAGAGGTTAGATGCACCTCAGGATGATTGCGATAAGCCATAGCTAGGTCCCTTCTCTCACCCGCTTTTCTCTTTCTATCCTAAGACTAAGTATGATCAGATAAACTTTGTGGTTGTATGGCATCGAAAGCTTGAGGCACGGCTTTGAGGTTGCTGTCTCTAGTAATGACAATGATGGCTATGCTGAATGATGTTATATTTCGTATCAACCGTGGAGTGGTATCCATTCGAAATCAGTCTCGTAGATCACTACCGTAGTTTGTGCAGCCGAACTAACTAACCATTTTGACAAACGGTTTGTTCCAAGGTCTGTTCGTCGTCCTCTAGTACTGCTAATCTGATGTTGCTGAGGCACATGCGCAGTGTTTCTAAAGCACCGTTGGTCGGAGACGATCTTTTGGCCTCGGCCTACAATCGTAATGCAACACTTTACTAACTGTCACCTTGTGGACCCTGGCTTCCGCCGATAGGCCAACAGATCGTCGGCCACAGAAGTGCCCAAGTTTTGGGTTGTAGAACAGGTTTGAGTGATTCTGGCTTTTGCTTCAGCGTCTGGCGCGATGCAATTATTCGGGAAAATAAATATCTGATGTTTCTGAGGTCATGGTTAGTCTTTCAATAGCGCTTGGCAGTCCGAGGATGCAACTCGCATACTAAATCGCCTGGCAATTTGTGAGTTATTTAGTGAATTTTCATCCGGGTGGAATTCGACCCAAGTGATGCGTTATTGTCTGCATACTCTAGGTCTTCGAGGTCTACCTCGGACGAAGTTCCACGCCGGAGATCGAAACCATAGCGAGGGTTAACAAATGGAGGGTAAAGAGCACCACTTTTGACTAATCACAGAAAAATACTCTTCTTCGGCTCGCCCACGGCCGTTGGAGTTTAGAGGTAGGATAAGTGTGGTGAAAAATGTTCGTAACACCTTTGAAGGAGAGGCTGCGCCACAAAGTACCGCATTCGATCAGGTGGAACGTGAAGTTGCCCCCCCCCTATATGTGTGTGTTGACTCTTTTGCCTTCAAAACGCTGTACTTGAGTTTTGTCACTCTGCGAATGAGCCCTTCTCTATCCTTAAACAGGGTTGACGAATACTGTAAACACTAGGTTGTGTTTCTCTTCAGAAGTTTAAATTCGTCTTTAGCGAGCTAAGATGTTTTTCGGATCATTCCTCTCATCACACAGGCTATCAGACTACTAAACCGTTCTGCTTTGTGGTCACTTCACTTACAGGCGTTTTTGTTGCCCCGCTTTAATAATCAAGCTGGAAGGGTTCGACTATCTCCATGAGGCGAAGAATAATGGATTAGACGGTTGACCATGTATGTCGAGAAAAAGTTGTGCTTTCCCGTAGTGATTAGACATTTGAACAAATGTCTGGAACTATGGTTCACGTACTAGCTGACGTACCCTGACGATGCTGACTCGGTGAGAGGTGCTGTCGTTGTTTCTGAATCACGCCGCTGATTGCTTCTGTTCAATACAATGTATACCCCATGGAGTTGGATATAATACGACTACACAACCACAGAACTCTGTGAATCCTAATACAAGGACCTTTCTGCGAAAATGCATGGCGGTGCTGAAGTATGATAGCGAATTCTCCCAATAGATAGTCTCTTCCACTTATGACCTCTTCCGGTCGCCTATGAACCGGCAAACCTGTCCGGGGGCCTGAAGTGACATAACCTTGGTCAGTGGTCCTTCTTCGAACAGTGGCGTTGAACCAGCACAGCACCGAGAAAAGACCCTTCCTCGCATATCACGTGCCTTGTAACGTCTGACGTGGAAACCGCATGAAAAACCAAACAATAAACTAACTGCGCTGGTTCGTATCTACTGCGAGGTCCGTGGCGTGTACTGGCCGGCATGGTGGTGAGGCTGTTGTATCCAATCCTGTAGTCAATTTACTGTGTGACTGTGGATCGATTTCCACTGCCAAGTATCTTGACCACATTTTCTGTCCACTCAGCTGAGGTAGTTTATAGTTTTGCAGGCTTCTGGCTGGCTGTTATAGAGTAATTAAACGAGGAAATCGAGAATATGGGATTCACGATAATTTGGGTCATGTTCCTCAACTCGATCTCGTATGAGCTCGAGGTGGCTCACTTGTTAAGACGTGGACTTACCGACCGGAAGGACTGTGGTTCCACCATGCTTCCTGCGGGTGGTGTGGCAGCTAGGCACTGAGAGGATGTTACATCTGAATAGCCAAGTTATGTGTAACGTTTTGCTGTTAAGGAGATAACGCTACTTGGTCATTTTCCTTCTGACTTCAGATCCCTGGGCTCCGGCACCCGTTGGCGGTTACATTGGAGCTCAAAACCCATGGCAATATCCTCCGGCTGTACTACCACCGGTTTCCCAAACTGAGGTAGAGATAGCACCCCCGAACCGTGACAATCTTCCCGCTGCCGCTGAGGGTAACCAGTGGTTCCGTGGTGCCCGTGCTTTCTTGGCTGACCTAGGCGTTGTCAACGCTGATGGAGTGGACGGAGCTGCTCCCGCGGGTGGTAACCAAGGGGCGTTGCAACAACAGCAACAAGCGATGGTAGTAGGTAACCCTATGGCCGGTGGTTTCATGGGTGCCGAGGAAATGGGAGAAAATGCCGGCAACATGGATATCGTCGACAGATTTTATATGCTTTTCCGTCTGTGCCTTTTTATCGGCCTCTGTTTCGCCTACTCGTCACTGGACAAAGCCATTATTGTGTTCTCTGTGGCCGCCTACGTATATTTGTAAGTTCACCTGCTTTGATTCTTAAATTGGAGTAAAACTATGAAGTGTAGGTATATCTTTTTAATCTGTTGAGGTTTTATATCGGCATAAGTTGGTTGGTCCACTTGACTCTCCTGACTGTTGGTATCCTTGGCTGTTCGACTGAATTGACAGTTCACTTACCACCTGATACATATCAGCGCACACAGTGGAAATTGTGCCAGTTAACTCACCGCAGACTTCTGCCTAACACCGTTCTCAACAGTAGCTTCGAGGCTTATATTCATAACAAGGCAGTTGGATCGACTACATTTAGAGTCCAGGTGAACGATACGAACGGAAGCACAGACGTCACTAACAGTTAGATTTACAATGTAGATGCCGGAGAATCCGTAAGATAAGCACAAGCTCGCTGTTTTCAGACCCGTCTTGGGCGTTTGCTTCTGCTTCGTTGTACAAGAGTTTTTTTCTAGTAGCGGATACCTCACGAATGTGTGAAATTATTTAATTGGAGGAGGAAGCAAGGCACACAGTATGTTTAAGCTCCGCAGCTGTAAATTGATGTCTAACTTAAACCGGACTAGGGAAAATTTTTTACATCCCAGAGATCCAAAGTGGCTGATAGTGTAACCTTGAATTTCCCCCTTCGTCTTTAACCTTTGTTGTCGTGCCAAATGTAAAACTTCAACTGTGAGCCGATTCCACGGAAGCACTATCAAGGGACGTCACTCCAAAATGACAAAGATAAACACTTCACTCCTACCAGTGGATAAAAAACGCCAGACTGTTGAGATCTCGTGCTCCGTGACCTTATCAGCGATTGCTGGTTCCGTGCTTGCCACCACTAAAAGACAATCAGCCCACCGATGACACCCCTGTTGTGACTTTATAATCCAGATCTTGAACACAATGAACAGCAGACGACAACTTTGACGTGGCGTAATAGTTGGCGTAGTGGCGTAGTTGGAAAATCCACTGCAGTCATTCATTTCAACTCACCGCTTCTGATTGTAGGGTCTCGCTTATTCAAGCGGGCACATGTTAGTTCGTTGACTCTCACCCTTCATTTTCATCGCTGCTCGAATTTTATCCACAGTAGTCCAGTAATGTTTTTGACATGCCATATAGGTCGCATCGCCCAGCGAAAACATGTTCAGAGGCACGACACTTCATGAATGAGCAACTCGCAACTGCTTGTTCCCTTGGTTTTTGACAGTGCTAGCAGGGATGTTCGCTGTCAAGGGTGTGTTAAAAGCACAAAACTGCTTATTCACTTCAGAAAACAATCCCTGGATTGCTGACAAGCAGTGGCTTCTGAAAGTCAATCATGTGGATGACGCAGGTTGATTAGCATCATAAGACCAGAGCAGTGACTAATGCTATTTTTGGCTCCCATCTCAAATGAGCTACTTTCTCATGGTTCTATCCTGGTGTGTTTAAAAGTCGCCCTGACAACGCATACATCGAGTGCCATGTCAGTACTGAGTTCACGGTGCTAATTTATCGACGTCGTTATTTTAATACTTCTGTGGTGTTTCTTTTAATATCGGATTTGAAGTAATTAAGCGGCGTCTTCTATTCCCAAGGGGTTATTGTTTTGACGCAAGTTTTCTCGGGTATTTCGGTGAACAATCTACTGAGGAGGCTTTCGTGGTCCGGCTGTACTTGCCCACTTGATGGGAGTTTTTCGGGATAGACATAAGTTAATCTGTCTACTTTGCTGAAAAGCTAAGTTTGGAACTGGCAAATAACGCTGTTGAACGTTTCATTGGCAATCATCAGCCTTCATTCTGAACACACTAGTTAGTTTTGAAATTGTGGTGAACATTGTTCGTAGGAGCGATGTGCAGGTTGATAACAACCCTAACCACAAGGCCACTATTATTGTTGGATGAGTGCCTGCAAAAAGCTTTTCAATGTTTGTGTGGGATTCTTCTAGTACCAGGTTGCCGCCAGTACAGCTATAGTGGAATAGTGGTCAGTATCTGGGACCAAGCAAAAACAGTGTTCCCTCTAAGGTCGCGGACCTGGTTTCTTTATCATTCCCGGTTCCGGAAATACACCGAGTACAACCAGGGGACTCCGCAGGACAAATGAAAACTAAGCTTCCTTGGTACTGGCGAAAGGTGAAATCGCTTTCCGACTTAGGAAAGCCAGGGCAAACCTTGGCAATTTCTGATGTTTGTGGCGACGACGTGATAAAGGTAGAACACACAACGCTACGGTCCGATCCACCCTACTTAGTGGATCGAAGAAGTGACCGGTGCGCGCACATCTTCAAAGGCTCCCTGTATTTGACCGTTTGTGACTCAGAATCGTTGCACCTGGTTCTCATCCCCCCAGCGAAAACATGTTCAGAGGCACGACACTTCATGAATGAGCAACTCGCAACTGCTTGTTCCCTTGGTTTTTGACAGTGCTAGCAGGGATGTTCGCTGTCAAGGGTGTGTTAAAAGCACAAAACTGCTTATTCACTTCAGAAAACAATCCCTGGATTGCTGACAAGCAGTGGCTTCTGAAAGTCAATCATGTGGATGACGCAGGTTGATTAGCATCATAAGACCAGAGCAGTGACTAATGCTATTTTTGGCTCCCATCTCAAATGAGCTACTTTCTCATGGTTCTATCCTGGTGTGTTTAAAAGTCGCCCTGACAACGCATACATCGAGTGCCATGTCAGTACTGAGTTCACGGTGCTAATTTATCGACGTCGTTATTTTAATACTTCTGTGGTGTTTCTTTTAATATCGGATTTGAAGTAATTAAGCGGCGTCTTCTATTCCCAAGGGGTTATTGTTTTGACGCAAGTTTTCTCGGGTATTTCGGTGAACAATCTACTGAGGAGGCTTTCGTGGTCCGGCTGTACTTGCCCACTTGATGGGAGTTTTTCGGGATAGACATAAGTTAATCTGTCTACTTTGCTGAAAAGCTAAGTTTGGAACTGGCAAATAACGCTGTTGAACGTTTCATTGGCAATCATCAGCCTTCATTCTGAACACACTAGTTAGTTTTGAAATTGTGGTGAACATTGTTCGTAGGAGCGATGTGCAGGTTGATAACAACCCTAACCACAAGGCCACTATTATTGTTGGATGAGTGCCTGCAAAAAGCTTTTCAATGTTTGTGTGGGATTCTTCTAGTACCAGGTTGCCGCCAGTACAGCTATAGTGGAATAGTGGTCAGTATCTGGGACCAAGCAAAAACAGTGTTCCCTCTAAGGTCGCGGACCTGGTTTCTTTATCATTCCCGGTTCCGGAAATACACCGAGTACAACCAGGGGACTCCGCAGGACAAATGAAAACTAAGCTTCCTTGGTACTGGCGAAAGGTGAAATCGCTTTCCGACTTAGGAAAGCCAGGGCAAACCTTGGCAATTTCTGATGTTTGTGGCGACGACGTGATAAAGGTAGAACACACAACGCTACGGTCCGATCCACCCTACTTAGTGGATCGAAGAAGTGACCGGTGCGCGCACATCTTCAAAGGCTCCCTGTATTTGACCGTTTGTGACTCAGAATCGTTGCACCTGGTTCTCATCCCCTTATTTTTCTTATCTTCAGTGAACGAAGCTGCAACAGCAAGAAGCAGCATAATTTAGCACACGGTTAATAGCTGAAAAACTGAAACCGAATTTTCGGTGTCATCATCCAGCACAGCTCGCGTGTCAGTAACACCTTGACCGGCGATATGGAGTTACTCTACATTCGCTGACTTACTGCACAGAGCCTGTTCATTATTGCCCTTTACTAAAGTATGGACTGCTTAGTATCGCTATCAGAGCTGTCTCGGACGTTTTTTGAATATTAAACAATAATGAACGAACACTACAAAAAGGCTCCATAATTTCCGTGTCAACCTTCACCGTCCATCAGATGCCGCAGTGGACACCAGGCCAGACACTACCCGCATGCTTGATCAGTAGAATACTCAGTTACACTAGTAGTTGGCACTAAAATACCCAAGGTCTTTTATAAAGTTGATGTGCTGTTGGCGCACCCATAAGCATTTTCTCTCGGCTATACTGGTTTGTTTAATGAGCATTTTCGAAACCTGAGAAAGATATTCACTCGTGAGATGGACTTCTTTACCGTGGTTGGATTTTTTTCATCGGATATTTACAATATTTGCTACCAGTTGAGTTACGGAAAGTTCAGACATTCTCCGCTTTGGCTTGACTCTGTTCTGAATTTAACCGACCCCTCGAAAGCATTGGTAACTAGTTTCACAGGATGTTCGAAGGAAAGTGTTCACCAGAAACTAGGTGTAATCTGAATTTAGCAAGTTGTGATCTTCATCCGTAGAATAAGTCTTACTTTGCGTCATTCACTCTTGCAGCTACAACATTTACCGCCGTCACGCGGCGGTGCGCCAGGCTGCCGCTCAAGCGCAACAGGCTCTTCAACCCGTCCCTCAAGGAGAACCGCAGCCAACGGATCGTCCGCAAGCGCAGTCTGTTGAAGTAAGTTCACCAAGCTTTCACGCCCCGATTTCGCGGTTCACCTTGCACCGTACGATCGAGTTCGGTGGTGAGCTTACAGGGTATCTAAATCGTTATGCTTATCAAGTACCGGTTTTTGATAGCAGTCCTAGACCCAGACCCGAGTCCCAATAACACTGTTGCTTGTGACTGTTCTGATGGGCCCTGGCTGTAAGTGAATCGACTGACCTAAATGGGTCGTGTCATTGGTTTCTAGGCAAATCGGGTTGAGGTACTTTGAGAGCAGGAGATGACAGCGGGGGCAAATCAGATCATGCGTTGAAACGATCTAGACGAGGTCAGTAGACTTCAAAAATGAATAAATTGCGCGGTTAATAACCAGTTGCATTCAGACGGACGTTTCAGGCCAGTAGAAAGGACCGAGTCTTTCACAACTTCCATTTTACGTATTACTCATGAATGAACAGTGTTATCTCTGAATTTGAAAACTAGCCTTTTTAGTGATAAACTACGTTTTGGTCACTACCTACCTGCTGTCGTACTTTCCTTTGTAATTTCCGAACAAACGCAGGTGTTTCGATGAGTTGAAATTGGCCCAAGCATCACAGTGGGACATAAAGACCAGCTCTTTCAATATCCACTACACAATCTTAAGCACGACGACGTTGATCTAACACCAGTGCGCACCAAACTTCATTTTCTATTACGGAATTGGAACTAGTTTAACGGCATTGGCAAAAAGCCGACTAAACTGTTATTCGGCTCTGCAGTCTAGACGTTTCTTGTTACACACTAGGTTCGTTTAGCCTATCCTTTGGATCCTGTCCTGCGGATTAGCTGAAGTGGCCTTTGTACCCTCCCAATTGCACTAGTACGAACCATGATGGAGACTTCTAGCTCCATCCTATCATATATCCGTTAATAGACTTCGTTTGAACTGACGGTCAAGCGGCCATCTAGCTTACTTCCAAAATCGCACATACGTAGTTATTTCTCAGATGCGTTCCACGCACTCTGTGAGACTACTCGGAACGCCTTGTATTGTTGTCCTTGATGTGTTTGTTTGGTCCGGGATCCACAAAGCCTTTCCTTAGTTCGACAAGGAGCTCGAGATAGTTCAGTGGACAAGGCGCGAACTTACAGGTTCGAACCTAACTTGAGCATCTCGATTGCTTCTGTCTAGTCTTGGGCAACTTGGCGGCATCTCAGCCCTTCTGCTTCCTTCAGGTGGCACGGCAGCTAGGCACCGAAAGGGTGCTACAGCTGAACCATTTATTATTGTTATCTACCTATGGCTTAGCGAGGGATGCTTTTCCGGTGAAGTTGATGGAACCCTACATCGCACGATGTGAATCAACCCGGCTTGTGTAGGATGAACGACAATAACCGACTAAACCTCGCAATCAATAGCTAATGGCCGTGATCCATTTAGCTGCGTAGTTGCTCAGCTATAGGTAGTGAACCCGCTACCTCCAAACATAGTACTAATAACTGGTAGTCGGTACAAATTTGGTTCAAAGGCGTCTAAACTGAACGTACCAACGGAACGTCCTTCTAGTGAACTGAGGCACTCTTTTAGTGTGGATCCTTGAACTCAACTCACCAATGGTTAATCATACTGGCAGAAATGGTCTAATGGGGCAGTCAGTGGCGCTCGTGCATCAAAGCTATCGCTTTCAGTGCGTAACTAACCAGTTCCCGAACCAACCAAACATGCTATCGCCTCCAAGCCTTGGCCGTGTGTCCCACACTCTCCCACTTTCCGGTGATGGAAACTGGCAGCTGGAACCAGTATCCCCATAGTACACTGTTTATATGTATGATTAACTGATTGATTGAGATGAGACGGGCTCAGTGGCGAGAATGCACCTTGACTTCCCTATCTCCCCACTAGCAATACCCATACTCTTTCTTCCCCGAAAGATGTTCCCTCAAGGGCGAAAGGTAGTTTTTAGTTAACAGAAATCCGAATAATAACTTGGAAACGGGCAGATAAACAAAGTTACGCCAGTTGACCTTACCTTCCATCCTAAATAGTGAAACTAGTGCACAAATTGGTTCTCTGTCGCGTACAACGGTAAGATTATTTCGCTGCTTAAAGCCGAGTGCCTTTGGGCGAGTGATACCACTAGTGATTAAACCCGTACTTTCGATCAAGCACATTCGTTCTCCTTAAGCCTCTCCCGTTTTTTCCAACCAACAGGACTCTGGAGTTGGGGACACTACGGATGCTGATCAGCAAGTTCGACTACGACCCATAACAAGTGAAAACCAATCGGCACCAGCTGGTAACACTGAACCTGTGCAGGCTGACCGACAACCTCCGTTCGTCCGACTTACAGGCACCCTGCGTCTGGTTGCCAATACCTCCTATCAGTTCGTCTCCTCGTTGCTCACCTCACTGATACCCGAACAACCACCACCAATACGTCTGGACTAGAAGCAACCGGTTTAAGTAACACCGCACTCTTGGTCTCAAAGAGCTCTCTCACACACCTGCTGCTGTTCACATTATTTTTACTATTTCCGTCACCGATTCGGTATTTTCGCCCAATCCTTTGAGAGGGAGATTCTGATTTTGTTCTACAACCGGCAGGTTTGGTTAAATGTGATAGTAGTACAATCCTCCTTCCACATCGTTTGTTTCTGCTACACGTGGTAGGTGGCCCAAACTACCAATCATTTGTGCAATGTGATCCTGCTTAACTAGCTACGTAATGCACTTGTTCTACAGTATCATTCTGCGTTATCTCTATAAAGTCATGAGACAGATAAAGCGCGGTTAAATTTGAAAAACAAATCACTTCATTTTTAGAGCTACCTCTGTTTGCAGACATGTGGAGCAATTCACAAACAAAATTTTTTGGGCCTTGAATGCTTTTCTGTCGGGTTCGGTATCCAACCATGTTGAAGATGCCCTGGTTGCCACGGTCGAGTTTATACGGTCTTTCGCACTGCCATTTTGTCATGGGTCGGCGAATCCTCCGTGGGTTTTCACTTTGGGTTCACGGCGTGAACGAAGTTGTCCGAGAAGCGATTAGCAATGCTCTGCTGATCCTCTGCCTCCAGCGTATCAACAACCCTATGGAGTGCTTTTCTGTTGGTGGAAACGGGAGAAACTAATCAGTGAGAGAGAAATACTATACAAGAGTGTCATTTTGATCATGACTTGACCAGATTTATTTCTCTGATTAGTGGTCAGAGTAACAATATTTCGACCAGTGTTTCATTGGCTCAGGTGATGTTTCACTCCGAATCGCTGAGTTTATTAGATGGTCCGTACATGATTCGAATCCTAACTAATCAGTCGATTAGTCCGACTATTGTCCGTCCTCCCCCTGTCTAGGCTTTGGCAACCTGGCAGTATCCCAGGCCTCGTGCTTCCTTCGGGTGGCATGGCAGTTAGGCACCGAAAGGGTGCTACAGCTGAACGAACGACTGTCCGTCCTCACAAACCTTCTGAACCACCTGAGATAAAACTCAGACGGTGTGCACTGTAGCATCTCCTTCCCTCGTTTCTGCACGCGTCTAAACTTGCCAATTCTTGTTGAGGCCTATGCCTGCAGTCATAGCGAGTAACCTACGATATGTCACGTTTTCTCTTCTAGTATCCCTTCCTTACAACAGAGACCATTAGCGAGCACGTAAACGGTTCCCAACCTCGAAGTATGGCGCAAGCAGGGATTCGATGTTCAATTAGTGTGTGGTTGATGGAACCTCGGGGAACGACGCCTACGTGGTGGTCCCCAAAAATAGGAAATCGGTTTTGGACTTTTAAAGAGTTTTCAGAAATCCTTGGGTAGTGTGTTCTATGAGAACAGGAAGGATGGTGACTTATGCAATGTGTGCATTTTTCTTCAAGCGGGAAAAAAACGATGTCTGATCTTCCCTACATCTGACGGAAGTTATTCCCTTATGTGGGCCATCTGGAGAAAGACCTTTTACTCCAGCATTTCTTGATACATCCTTTGTTTTTAAACTACGAGCTACCTGACAATGGCTATCAGGCTCGACGTTTGTACCACTCCCGTCGCTCTGTCATGTTTTCCTACGAGGAAGGCAGTTCTGAGCGGGCGACGTCACAAGGACCATCCGATTGGATGGTTCCAGGATAAACTACACTTCTGTTGTCTTTTTATTTTCGATAAGTAGAACTAGGTACAATTGGCTTTATTTAGCAAGCGACTGAGTGCTTATAGGTGCAGACACTTCAGAATGCTTGACATAGGCCAGCACTAAGTCCCCTCACTCACCCACTTTTTCAATTTTCACTCGAAGGCTTGAAATATAATTGGATGAGCCTTATAGTCGTACGGCAGTGAAGCTTCAATGTCTGATGATGATGGTGATGTAGTAAGCGGAATGAGGTCAAGATCACAATTATGCTGTAATGGTTTTAAAGCTTGAATGCTGCAGCTACGAACGTCCCGTGGTCGATTACCGTTTTTTTGCCAACATGAAGGATCCAGATCACCATAAACTGATGGCGAACTGTATTCTCCTATAAACAGGGGCCGTTGTGCTCACAGCGTGAATCGCTGAAACTTTCTTCAAGGTGTTGCTCTGGTAGAAGTTTTTTCGCAAAGCGGGACTGCTCATGCAAATTGTCTTTACAAATATTTTAGCCTACTTTCTGCACAGCACCCCAGAAAATATAACCTGGAGTAGCGTGTACATCTAATAAAGAAGGGACATTGGTTTACAATAACCAAGAAAGGTGGATGAACCGTGTGCGGTGAGGTGGCTCAGTGGTTAGAGCGTGAATTTACTGCCGGAAAGTCCGTGGTTCGAACCCGACCTCAGTCCTTCGACTTCCCCTGTCTAGGCTTGGGCACCCTGGCAATATCACAGCCCTAGTGCTTCCTTCAGGTGGCATGGCAGTTAGCCACCGAAATAGTGCTACAGCTGAACGACTTTTTCGAGTCACGTATAATAACTTAATGCGGTAATTGCTCAGCGAAGTTACATCCGAATGAGTAAACCCGGTGGCCTTCTGAACTGCAGTGTACAATGTAGCGACACATGCGATCTCACGCACATACGCGATTCGAACAGATTTCAAAAATTAACTGACAGGTGGAAGAGTTTACAGTTAACACAGGCAGTTGACTACCTATCCCTATCCTAAATGTTGTCGAAGTGCTGGAACAGAATTTTGCGCGTTTGTCTGCCACCGTATAATACGTAACTGCCGTCTTTAGTGGGGTCTTGCGTTAGGGATATTTCAAGGGGTATGAGCTAGTAACTGTTTTGACTTGCAGGCGGCAGACTTTCTGTGGATCATTCAAGTAAACACCAATTGTTGTGTACTACGTAGAAATAGGGGGTAACATGACGTTGAACTACGTCAGGGTTCAAGTATGTACCGAAAGAATCAAGTTCAAACACTGTTCCAATCACCGACAACTGCAGGGAAAAATGAAGCAACGTAAATGAATATCTTACTTGTTGAGAACTCGGGATTTCAAACGCGCGTAGGTCGTATCTGGTCTTTTATTCAGGTTCACCAGTCCTGGGTACCTTCGTCGTGCCTGGCTTTTGGCTGCGACCACGCGAGCTAAACGGGAAGCAAGATGTGATCAAATGGTTGTGAATAAGTCTCCAGGATACACTAAATACATATTCGAGCCGTTCAGTGACTGCCACCGCCCGCCCTAGGTGCCACCCTTAACTATGGTCTACAAAAAAAACTGGATAAAACCGTAGGGAACAATCTCATCGACCTCAGCCGTAACACGTACAGGTAGAACCGGGTGGCCCACTTCTGGCGCCTTTGTTATGTAGACGTCACGTGAACCCGAAGGAATAATAAGCAGTCAGGGAAGGTAGCTCATACTTCTACCAAATGTGGGTGCCGAACTACGTTGCACGTCCAACCAAGGAAATGAAAGTCTAATAAAACTTAAAGCTCGGGGTATGGAGGCACTCATTTGAAAAGCGCCGTATAATAATGAGGACGTGTAAGGAACAAGTAAAATCATACACCTTAACGACAGAACCCAAAACGCTGAATATGATCCATTGCGTTCGTAATGCACTACTTATAAGGTTGCTGAAATTTTGTCGACAGCCTACGACCGGTTTCGCCCTTCTTGGGACTCATCAGGTAGATGCAGTCTGCGAATTTCCCTCAACTTTATGTTCTACTTGAAGCCAAATTGCACGAACTTACCGAAGTACACTCATTTGCAAACAAATTTGGTTTTGCGAGAGACTGTGCCTTACTCTCGAATCCAGTCAAAATCTTAAGGCTTCTACTGAGATTATAATATGGTTGTCCGAGACGACAAAACATTTCGACATGAAAAAAGCATAATCCTAAATAGTTCCATTTAATTTATTGAAGGCGAGGCCGATATTTCCATTCGTCCCGAATAAAGCATGACGGCGCAACCGAAAGCACCTGGTACTAAAAATTGCACGAATCACAGCTTGTAGTGCATTCCGAACATCAGTACGATCGATGCCATCCCAAACGCGTCGCAAACAGAAGTGCCAATCGGCAAATAGATCGATAAGAAGGCGGCACGTGAAAACTAAGGGGCAGCGTAAAAGGTAACAACGGTACATGGAGAACCACAAGGTGAAAACACGTAGGGTACGTACAAAGAAACCATCCCCATACAATGAAGGCTGAAAGAAAAACGTGGATCATTGAACACCTGTTGAGAATTAATTTTTGGTTACGACAAAAAAGTTTTCGCTGAGGTTGAACTGTCACTAAATATACTAGTCCCCAGCCCCGGTCATCCGTTTCTGGTCCGAAACTCCTAAAGACCATATCCATAGACTGAAGGACCACAAAAGTAAATGTATTATTGATATTTTAAGGAAAGTTGGGAAGAATCCACTTAAATTTCGTTTTGTAAGTAAAGCCGATCCATGAGGAAAAGCCAAGAAGCCCTGCACAACTATTTCGACCTTGTTGGAAACTACAAGAAGTGTGTAACCTCACGAAACTCTCTGCTAGTAGGTTGGACATTTAACCGCTCACCCAAGAGCCACTCAGGTAGCTAGTCAACATGTGATGAAGCAACGTGGATCCCATGATTGGAGAATCGGTCGAGTTGATCACGCAGCTGATCAACCGCTCGTCGCCGAAGGGTTAAATTAAAAGGTTGAGAGGTCGCGAGTCCTAAAATTCTTGGAGTTTCGTTCATGAGGTGGACACTTTTGATGACTCAGAATAAGGACGAAACAGCAGCGGTACAGTATTCGGCTTCTCAGGATAGATTGATTTCACTTGTAGGACAAAGTCTCATTTGAACACAGCTGATACATGCCAAGACACAAAGATTTTGTGCACCACTACTAATGAGAGTGTCCTACCCTCATTCACAAAGTTCTACTTTATTTCACAACGCTGTGCATAATTAGTACACCTGTACGCTCAAATGCCTTCCACTTCATGTCCACGTATCGATCGGTGCGTAGGTATGCACATAGGAGCAACGAAACGATAGTCATTAGGATAGCATTAAGACAGTCCAATCACATGAGAGACGGTTGACGGAACCCGAATTTGGACAGTAATCATAAAACGGATCCATTTCTTGGCGCGTTCCTGTTCCGAGTATTCAAAGCTACGGCTCACGAGCCCAGAGTAATTCGGTATCGCTGAATGTACGCACAACCTCAGAATCTCTTCAGCTTGTATTAGACGGCGCAGAGCAACTCAGTGATTGGAAGACACCAGATAAATTTAACCCTTCGAGAATCCCTTCCGAATCAGCTGGGATCTTGTGCGTATTGGAAGGAAGAATGAAACTACTCCCACATACCAAGACAACAGTCACGAGCTGCTGATGGTGTCACAAAACAGAATGATGGTTCTAGTGGAAGGGTTTAGGAAAAAAAGTGGTCAACTAACCATGAACTCGGGCTTGTCGAGCTTCAGCAGCTTCCGCATGAAGGGATTCTCTATCTTTTGGATCGACTGGTCGCCCGTCTACCGAGTCCCGTTTAACGATACGACCATGTATGGGACAACGCCCACTGAGATCGCGACGTGGACAGAGCTTACCGGACAGTAGCGGAGCCCAACAGGCCAAGGTATTCTGAACCACCGAATGAGTCGCGCGATCTATTGAGAAAAACATGAGGACCTCAGTAAAATGGAAAAAAGTCGAAAATCTCAGATATGGTGTTTGTGATATCGTGGTATATGAATACGAAATAGAACAAAGGAGTCAGCAATAGTTACGGAAGTTGCTTTTTACCCCGAAGTGGGTGCAATAACACCGGACACGCTGAACACCCAATGGCGTTCACGTCCGAAAAGAATAGATGCACATTCCCAATGCCATCCACTGTAGAACCACTTTCGAATAGAGCAAGCTATTGTCGCCCGATAAATGGTGAGGGTGTGCACTCGTCACGTAACGCCTCGTAACGTGAGGTTCAGTGGTTTGTCCATTCCACTCTAGAAAGATTAATACTCAACTATTGACGCTTGTATCTGATTTCACAATCCTCAGAGAGCAGACAGATTTTGTTCGCTTCCTTCGCTTTGTGAAAATTATGTCTCAGGCTCCTGAGTACCCCAAAATGAAACTTTTTGGCCGTATGGTTACTGAGTATTTAGTGCCCAATTCAGTATGGCCGATTGCACGAGTTTTTTCATCCTGTCCTCTGTTGGGGATTGGTCTACCAAAAGTTTCGATTTTGAACCAAATCCCACGGGATTGGACCGCACTGACCTTGGAGCAGAGGAGATTAACTACTCACCAGTAGCCTCAGTTTCTGCGGTGTCTGGTAAGGGATCGGTGGAATCGACAACTGTGTCTGTCGATTCGTTTGGCAGCGGGTCCAGTGAATTGGACGCACTAATTGCCTGCGCCATATATTCGGGCGGTGCTTCATATTCATCCGGATGAATTGGACGCCAAAAGCGATGTAAAGACTCGTTTGCGCGCCATACCACGGTGGATTTGGAAGGTAAGTCGATAGAAACGGATGAATAAGAGGGGAGCGTCCCAATTTTGGGAGGAATTGCAGTTTCAGATGAGCATCTGGAACACAAAATAAGCAAGGTGAAAGGTGGGAAATTATGCGCAAGAAGATAAAAATAGTGGAAGTTTAATTAAGCTGAGGGAGGCATTGGCATGTAAATCATTGATCTGTTTTCTGAGAGCCGAGAAGGAAAGCAAAACAAGCTAGGGATTTACTCAACTGGTGTTCTTTTCAGCAGGCTAATAAAGAAAAAAGTTTCTTTTTCATTTAAATATCGACACATTACTCAGTGCCTCTTAAAGGATAAACCCAAGGCTAAAGTTTTGGTGCGCCTAAAATTAGGTAAGAAAACACATGTTGTAAATGCATCAGATACTTTGCTACATGGTGGAAATTGCTGATCATGACTTAAGTTCTTCAGTGATATGAAACACTCCTCAAGAGATTACTGTGCGCCTCTCAGTAGCATTTTCATCATCCTCCGGGCTCACTCAGTAGTCGTAGTCTCTGGGTTTCCCTCAACTTTATGTTCCACTTGGAAATACAAAATTGTATGCAACTGAAGAACTGTACTCATATGTAGATTACTTTGATGTTAACCGGAGATACAACTGAGTCTCCGCTGTGCTGTACGCCCCGTGCTTCAGTTGACAAGCAACTCCATATGTCCAAATAGATTTTCCTGACATACATACCGCTTCAGTGTTCTCCGGATCAATCGTTTAACTGCATTTAGAACAATCGCGGTAACAAGCACAATGACCTTCGTTATTCTGTCACATTTGGTCGTACATCTGACCTAACCTGGTATTAGTTCGTTGTTTAGTTTTCGTGGACTTATTTTTAATTCTAGAAACAGCTCAACTACTGCTTGATTGAATGCGCACACTAATTAGGTGGCTTCCAGATTATTGACTAAGTTTGCACTACTTGCATTCTTAAACGTGTTTCCCGTGATCTGTCACGCACACTGATAGATGTGGTTCAGTTTAAGACTATCGCATCAAAACTGCGGATTTCAGTGCGAAGCCATCCCAACTGCATTCTAGAAAGTCGAGCGTATCAATGCGGAATCAACTCATTAAAACTGTACACATTGAGCTGACGAGCTAACCGGTCTCGATGTGCGGCTGTCGCTCCTTGCTCAGTCTATCTTCAGTGAAGGAAACTGACGGCTCCATGCACCCTGAAATCAATCTCCAAGCCTTCACGCGGCCACATTTAATGTCCGCGCATTGAAGCGAGCAGGACAACAAGTTGCTCTTGCATTGTCTGTTTGTCGAGTCTACTTACGCCCTAAATGACTGTAGCCTTGACACCATCAAATATAGGTTTTATGACGTTTTGAATACCCTCTTACGGTGGGCTAAAAGCTCAGATTTCGTTGTGGTTGCCGGTGAGCAGGTTTAGTGCATTTGAGACTCACAGATTGACATACATTGGACTTGGTACGCATGGACTACGGCGAACGAGTGCTTCAGTTATGTGCTGATCAAAGAATTTTTATATAGCAGTAGGTCGTCTTGTCGCATGGTGCCCTTAAGCAGCATGCCAGCCACGTACCTAAAATGAACAAATCGCCATCAACTACCAATGGCGCGGAGCAATGACCGACTGCTGCTTGTTGTTGGAATTTTTGATTCCCTTAAGCAGCATGCCAGCCACGTACCTAAAATGAACAAATCGCCATCAACTACCAATGGCGCGGAGCAATGACCGACTGCTGCTTGTTGTTGGAACACATTTTTGATTCCGAACACGCGTTCGTCCAGAGTTGCTTCTCCCTCCGGGGTTGTTTAAGATGCAGACAAAAGTAGCTTAGCAACTGAGACTGGCAGATCCAGATGTTGAAAGAACCTAACAGAATCGTCTTCTGGGATCTTTTCCAACCTCTTCACTATCAGATCTAAATTCATGCTGGAACGAGATCAGCCCAGCTTTGCACAGTGATTGGAGTTTTGTCTGTCGCAAGGCGTTACTAAGTCCGCTCAGGCACTGGATATCAGACCTAACAGGGGTACCGCTTGAATCTCACAGGAAAAGAAAAAACAATTCGGCCCGGCGAATTGTCATAAGTCAAGTGAAGGTGAGTGCCACGCCAATGATGAAGCTTGGTGAACACGAAAGGCACCTAGAAGAGGCCCATGAAGCCGGTAATGCCCAAGACTAACTCAGCTGATCCGTACAACCGGCCCTTGGAAACCAACCGCAAGGTGAGCATCAAGCATCGAATTGGCGCGACCATTTAGAACAGAGAAGTACGGCCTCGACCGGTGAACCGAGCATGTTGAACACGGGTTCTCGTGTCCACTCGATGTAACTCATTTGGATCATGCAACTGAAAAAGAAAACTGGACGGTGGATCTGGAACTTTTTAACGCTTTGGGAGTTTATGATTTCACTTTATCCCTCAACCAATCAGAGCTCCAGTTCGGATGACTTCCCATCCGCATTGTTCAAAGATGGGGGTGAACACATCAATGGGCGCTCGCCTGATCTATTTGCCTGCATCTGGGAAAAAGAGACGACCAAAAAAAGACCAGTGACTAGCGCCGAAACCACAATAGGAGCAGCTTGACTCCAGTTGTAACGACACTCTTGGCGTCACCTTACGGTCGTGAAACATTGGGAAAAAGAGACGACCAAAAAAAGACCAGTGACTAGCGCCGAAACCACAATAGGAGCAGCTTGACTCCAGTTGTAACGACACTCTTGGCGTCACCTTACGGTGGCTCGTGAAACATTGAATCGAAAGTAGCAATCGAGATTCTTGTCTGCTAGAGGTAGCGTTGATCAAATCTTTACACCCCATCAGATGCTAGAACAACGCCTTACGTACAAACGACCCATAGTTTTAGTATTCACATCTCAGTATTGAATGGTTTCTCCTCTGACGGCTTATTAGTCAGCAATTTGGTGTCAATACTGAGCACTGTTTCCTTCAAGTGTACACATTAGTCTGCGACAACTGCACATGGTGGGAAAAAGCGCTTTGGGGCTGCGATATGGTAGTTATAACTAGCATCAGAAAACAGACTGATGAGGGACAGTTCAATGCATCTACTCACCAAAAAACTAAATGCTTACTCATGGATTCGGCATACTGCGCAAACAGTCAGTAACAGTTAGGCAAGGAGAGTAGTCTTGATTGAATTCGAAACAAACAGGCTGATTGTGAAAGGATAATAAATGGTGTTCTGCAGTAGCTAGCTTACCGTGTGTTGTTTTCTCTCTCTGACAGATCAGCCTGTTTGTGTGGCTTTTCTTGGAGAACGTCTAATGTCGTCGAATCGACAAGTTCCGGCTGGTCAAATTTGGAAGCACAAGAGATGTCCTTGTCGACCACAGTAATAGCACTGGCAGGTTCCGGGGTAACTGTAACCGGTTCGACTTCTTCGAAGTCACTCGTATCACTGGAATCAACTGAGTCACCCCGATCGTCATGAGAAGGTCCTAGACCGAAGGGGAAGAGGAACGATGCACCGGGTTATAAAAGATCACCAACTATAATTAGTGGACAGCAACGTCACGGCAGTAAGCAGTAAAAAACATGTTTGGCGCACCACTGAGATGTTTCCGCAAACAGGAAGACCTCTGGAATAAATTATGTGGTCCAGCATTAGTTAAAGCGATCCTTGTTCGGCAAAACAACAGAACCGAACGAGAACAGTTTCCGGACATCTGGAGTTTGTAACATAAACACATAACAAACTTTCAGTGATACACTGATCACCACTACCCAAGATAAACACACCCGTGAAACGAAGAACAGCAGTACTGTACATGAAAAGACAGCAGTAGTTGACACAGACATTATCATCATCATTGTCAGCTGTAAGAACCGCGCTTTCGTTCACCGAGGATTTGGGGGGAGGGAGGGAGGTAGCTGCGCATTGCAGGCGGGAGCTGATAAATTGGTGCATAAATCCAGCACTGTCAGTGGGCTGTCAAGTGGAAGATTGGTAAGGGAGATATGCACTGAAGACAATAGCTTGGATGCACGAGCGCCATTGAGGGCGCGACTGGGCCATGTCTGACAATGTCTCTGGCCATTGATTAGGCTCGTCTCGAGAAGACAGGAAGACGGCAATGACCAGCGCAGCTAAGTTTGCTGGTAATGGCTTTCATAATTCGCTGCAAAGTCATTGTTTGACCGCCTCTGGCTCTCTTTCACCCTTCATGTGTTTGTGCGGAAAGAGCCCTTCGAGGAAGTCAGTCGACTGGCATACGCAGCACGTGGCCAAGACAGCGCAACCTATGCAGTGTGATCAGTTCATCTATCGAGTGTGAGTTATTTGTCCCGAATACCATTCGATGTGCTTCAGAATCTCTAATCCGGTGTTCCCACCAGATTCGGGCAATGCTTCGAAGACATCGATAGTCAACACTGAAAGTCTTTTGACGTCCTCAATGCGCAGCGGCCAGGTTTCTGATCCATATAGTAATATGGAGCGCACCGCACAGACAGCTACATGCTACACATTGAAACGGCTAAATTTATGCGCCCCACAAGCAGCGAATTCCAAATCAAAAGCCTAGAGCTAATCCAAAACCAGAAATGTTTTCATAACCAAACGTGCTAGAAGGCTAGTCACTGCAAACGGAGTGCAAAGCGGAGTACCACCTAAACGACTTTACGTTCATTATACAGGAAAATACAAACCCCGTACAAAAAGAGTAACCTTTAGGTAGGGGCCACATATGACCTGCATTTAAGAATACCCCAAGTACACAGCTCTATGTTAGACATATTATGGAGGAAAATCCAAAGCGTGCAACAGTCTAACTATCGGAAAGATTGCATGATATATGGTCGTCCCTCCCTTGCAATCGAAACTGAAAAAGCTGGAACTATTTGTAACCGATGGATCGATTAGGCTGGTGGGTCCTGACCCCAGCACTGCAAACAAGCCGTACCACGCCAGTTCATTCACGGGACACTTAATTTATCAGCGTGAAAATCACCCCCATAACCGGTGGCGAGATGGAAGGTCAGTGGTTCGAATCCGAACTCTGTCTCCCGAATTCTTCTGTCCAGGATTGGGCAACCTGGCAGTATCCCAGGACTCGTGCTTCCTTCGGGTGATATGGCAGTTATGCACCGAAAGAGTGCTACAGCTGAACGCATTCCATAACCTATATGTTATATCTGCTTCCATAGAAATGCACAGCGGATGTCACCTATTTCTGGTTGATAAGTGTAAGAACGGATGAAAACAAACGAGTAAGCAGTATTCGCAAACAAATGCCAAAACAAGCGATAAATGGTTCTTCAAAGTGTTAAGTTGAAAAGGTGTGAAACCACCAGAACGTACCTGTTTGATGGGGATCTGTTTCCGAGTTGACAAACACGATTCGATCGTAGAACAAATGCGTCAATTTTTTCAGACGCGAGAGCCAGTTTTGCACACGAGCCGTATATGTTGCACACTGAATGCGCAACGTTTGGTCTATTGGCGTGGACTCCGCACTCTCGAGGGTCTGTGGAAAAACGAACAGAAAAAAACGGTTCAGTCATGTTTTGCAGTGCTGTGAGCAGCAATAAGATGGTCACACCAAGCTGGTCACCATGGTACCGCTAGAAACAAATAACCAGGCTATAATAGCAAACGCAATGATTTCATCCGCAAGGGGTCACGGGTTCACAGACTCATGATTCGCTATCCCATCTAAACCCGAGCTTATTCGGCGTAATGCATTAGCATTCTTCTTCGGCGTACGTTCCGCGATTTCGCAACACACGTAGTTCTAGTTGCTGTTACAGTTTAGTCCCAATGTTCGCCGTCTTGGTGATCAGCAATGTAAAGCGAGTTGTTTTTGACTGGCTTTGATCTCAGGATTCCGCTCTTTCCGCCCCGGAACTTGAGACAATGCTAACTCACGCTTGTCCTCATGCTTCGGAATTGTTACCATTAGAATCTCACGGTTGATAATGCTGATGCAATTCATCCAAAGCGATAACCGTTATTCGATAATACATCCGAGTTTCGGAACCAAACCAAACGCGAAGGTTCAAACTTGAACAGAACATCACCAGTCAACTTACTTACTGATTTGTCTCGAGGGCGAGGACCTGGAAAGCTTCCACTTCGTGGGCTGTCTAGAAATCAGGATAAATGTGCAGGAGGCGGGTGAAAATCTTTGCTGTGATCTTCAAGCCTTCTTCCCTTTTTAGCTATACTGCAGGATGAGACCAACCCGAGAGAAGCCACCCACAGCCACTGACAAAAAATTCTGCTCGGCGAAGCAACGGCTCCAAGAGAGCCGGTAAATACAGAAGCTGGTCACCTAACGGAAGCCACTACTGTAGAAGAGAGGATAATTTAACCAGGTACCTGTTCATAATACGATCATACGCAGCAACAGGTTTCGCTGCAATGGTTGTTGCCCTCTGGCGTTCCTGGAACGCTTTCACTTTAAAAATTAGCTCGCCGGGTCATCGCCCAAGAATTAGGTCTGTGAGTCAGTTCTCGAGCAGGGAGTAAGCTGCGTAAAACACTCAGTTGCCAGACCACCCTTTAACCGGATGAGTTGTATCGTGTCAAAAAAGCGACCATACTACTTGCATACCAAAATGAATTTCTTGAGAAAAGTTTTTAAACTAGGGAATGTTACTGGGCCATATGACGATGATGTTCACTGCACGAAGAAAATTTCAGAATCACTGAACCAATGCGTTTCACTCTGTGATAAGCAAAAACTGGAGAAATTGCTGTGCCGAAGAAACATCATTTTGTTGTCTACACAATAGTGTGAACTTGTACCTATCGACTGAAACCGGACCTGTGTATCGCGCAGGTGTTATCATTGGTTCAATCCAGCAATCTATGTCTGGTAACAGGGTTTTCGGAGAATTCACCAAAATAAACCATTTTGAGTTTTCGACGCGCACCACAATTAGAGTGTAGTTTGAGAATGCAAACACTTCACTCGGAAGCGTGAACTGGATGAGAATCGCTTTTAGAATACAAATTAGATTTCATAGTATTCGAATGAAACGGTGTTTATGGCCACGGAGGGGAATGTTTGACATATTTGTAGTAACATAAGCATAACGTGCGTGGTAACGAATCAGCCTTCTTTCCTCATCAGACCCTTCGATTAACGGTGGTCTTACGCAAACAGCACCACACAGAGGACATGAGGCGCCATTGAAGAGGCGTCTTCTGGCCCAAAGTCAAGAACTCCTTGAAAAAAGGGGTTCACCTACCCCGAGTGAGAACCTCGATCAAAATATCGGCTAAAAAGCTGAAAAATCACGAATGCTCACAGCGGAAGTAGTTGGGACAGCCCATGAGCGGTCACACATACATATCGATGACGGGTAGAGCCTGTATAGCAGTGACGTTTCGAAACGGTGAGTATAGGGTGAACAAGGATTCTTGTTTACCATGTTTATTTTCTGAATTGTGTCACGCGACAGAAATTAAGCAAGGTCGGAAGTATCACATTGGGTCGGTGCGTAAATCGCCTCACACACTGATGTGTTTATTGCACGTCCACAATCCGCAGAAAACGCACGAAGGCCCAGATTGTGGACGACCCACCAAATAGCGTATGGTCGCACAATCCAGTACAACAAAAGTACAGTTATTCTCTAAAACATACAAGATAAATGTGCTCGAGTTCAGTTACTGCATTCACGGCAGTCACTCCGCTGTTTCACCAAAGGTTTTAGGGGGGACGCATACACGAACTGGAATCCAAACAGTGAGTTGTACAGCTGTGCTTAGACGTACAAGCCCTTTTAAGAATAGAGCTTAACTAAAAACCGAGATCAGCTGGTGCTTACAACGGATCACGTGAAATGGCGAGTGGTGAGATGCATGACGATGCACTGTTGGTCTGATTAAAAATGGAGCACTATGATAAGAAAATTGATACTTTCATTCATTTTCGAGCTACGAATCACCAAGATCGGCTGTTCCCTTTTCTCAGCAACGAGCCCACAGATAAGACGACTGTTGCACGCATACAAAGTGGGACTGGTTATTGCCGAAACTACTTGCCTGCGACACTGACAAGCTAAAAGCATTGCGAAACGAAACTTGCAGCATCAACACACACGGATATCGACCATCTATATATCGTCAATAACGGATGCGATTTGTAGACAACCAAGAACAGGTGTCCTGCCGGGCCGGCAATTAACACTGAAACAGATGAGGGTCTCTTTAAATCCAAGGGGTTGAAGACAAATGCACGTACAGTTTGCCCTGTAAACATAGACCTGACGTTTACGCCCGACCATCCCACAAGGCTGTACTATGCAGCGAAATTCACTTAGATCTTGTTGAGTACACTGGGATGGTCCAAAGTAAAGGGTAGAAATTGACCGACCAGAGCACAGAAACAACACAACTTAAGGTGTCTGAAAGACAGCATGTTAAATGCACATGTTTTTCTTAACAAGGTCACAGCACCCAGTTAATGAAGAGGTTTAGTAAAGTATATGGTCAGTTACAAATGCCGTAGTACAACCTACAATCGCATAGCACTACATTTATTCGGTGAACAGTGTAGTCCTAATGGGCAGTGCTAACTTCACAAATAGTGAACTGCACTCAGCTTGGAGCATCATGTCTAACAGGCGCACACCAATCTGGACTCGAAGACAGACTGAGGCACTCGACTGATCCATTTGTTATGTACATACAGAGTGATTGGCGTCACAAAATCAAAGCAACAGGGCGCATGGTCAAAAACCGATTAGAATCCCATTTGGACGTGCAGCTCCTCATCTGCAAGGACAGATCAGTGTGTGTATGATCAGTATGAATGATGGTCCATTCTCCTCATTCCTGACCAGAAACAACAATACACTATCGACCCCTTTAGCAGACGAGCTTGAAGGTTATTTGACAGTGAAAGTGTGCGGAGTGCCATTGGGACTAACTGTTTTCCCCTCTCGTTCAGCTTCAGGAAACTCAGCGTAGGTCATCAGATGAGTGAAACGATTAACCGTCGTCGGTGGTAGATGAATAGGCCAGAGTAGGCTCCAAACGCAGCCCGAGGAATTTTGATCAATCAAAAATAGTTGTCGAACAATTTCTTACTCCTTCCGAGTAAGTTCCAAGAAAAACGAAAGGAAATTGCACATTGCGTCGGACGTTCTTGAAGAAAAGATCACAGACATAGCGAGTATGGAAAGCTTCTCCAATATGCAAACACCAAAACATCTTTGAATTTTCGAAACAACAAAGATGAACGAAGGCCCTTTGGCTGACCAGAATACGTTTTCAGAAAAGGCAATTGTGCAAGTCACATCAAATGGAACCACGAATGGGGAAAAGGGATGCTGATTGCTGGGAAAAAGAGCAACCTGGATCACACAGCCATAAGAGGGTAAGAAGTGAACGACTACAGCAACGCCTCAAACCGTGTTGCCCAAACAGCAAAACTGCGGCTCCTTTCTCGATATATAGGGCCACTAGAATGTCACACACACACACGAATTGAGAAATAAACCCGTTCGAATACGCGTAGGACGCAATCATGTGACCTGCAAAAGGATCTTGTATACTGTGGATGCACCAGATACAGTGGGAGACAACGCACGACTAAACCTTCGAAGGATTTATCGGAAATGCCGTAAAATCTAAAAATGAGGACAAATATGGTGGAATTTATAGCTAACTGAAGCTCAACGTTCCTTAACACTGCTTCGCACCCTTCCAAAACACAATAGGATGTTTCAGGGATTCTTTCGGTAATTTCTTCGAAAATGGACATCAGTTCTGTGAACACTGTAATCACTGACAAGTTTTAAAACTCTGAATACCTTACTGTGAGCTGCTCTACTGAGCTGAGAGGATAAAAAGAACCGACAGAACAGCGATACGGTGTAACTGACAAAATAGCACACTGGAGAGTTATTCTTTACTTGCTCGCTATTTATAAGGACTTCAAAAGGCAAATCGGTAGTAAACGGAAGATGCTGCTAAGCTATCGCTCAAGTGTGACCTTCCTGTCAATTATCACGGACAGTAGCATCAGTGCTGACAGTGACGCTCCACTGAGTTTGACAGACGGAGGAACTTTAGACAGAGGGAGTACCGTACACACAAAAAGTTTGCCGTAAACTGGGCGTACGGTGTAATGACGGCGCCAGTGAAAAAAAACGAGCAGATACAACCATAAGAAGGGTTTCTATTAGGCAACTACGTCCTCGTCGGTAGATTCAAATTAATCGGTTTGGCTTGCAGGTGATGAGCAGAAACCCTGTGTGCTAGCAACGAGTGCAGTGAGCGGCTCCGGAGGCACCTGATGTATTAAGATGTTTGGGTTCGATTAGTAGCTGACTTCAATAGATCAAAGCTGAAGAAGTTAAAGAGTGATGCAGAAATGGTCATATTTTCCAATGAATAGAAACGTGCCTCAGAAGCGTGTTTGAGCTATTCCCCGTCAAGGGGAAATTTCCACAGGTCGCCTTCAAGACCAATCGCACCAACTGAAACATGGTAAGTACATTCAGTTGGAGATCATCACAAGCGAGATTCAGCTGAGTATCCTGTGGAACCAAAATGGTGCGCAAATGAGCGAAGTTTGCTAATTTCGTGAAATATGGGTTCAAGGAGAACATGAGATCAAGAGAAAATATGGGACTGCGCCTACCTGGTGAGCCCCAAGACGAATGAAACTTGTCGTGAGATGACAAACAGTTTCCAGCAACCTTATAAGGAGTGTGAGAGTGGTAAACGTTTCATTAAATCTTGCAAACACTCATGAGACGATAGAGACATTCGTTACAAGCTCCGTGTCACCAACTGGATTACACAAATAATTGGACGGGGACGCCGAAACCGCCTGATATTCGCGGTGGTGGTTTCAACATTTTTATGTAGAAGTACCGAATGGAATGACTGCTGACGTCAATACAGCCATGTTACCAGAAGGGGATCTCACCTGCAACCAGGAATAAAGAAGAGGTTCATGCTTTTCTCTGGCCAATTTCGCGTGCTCTTGAGCCGATTCCTCCAGAACCCGAGTGCCATCGTCTCGGATGATAGGGACACGAATTTGTCCGCCAGATCCTGGGACACACGGAAGTCGGATTTCGATTCCTTCAGCACCGAGACCAAGACCACTCGAACTTCCAAAAAGACGGCCATGGGCACGGTTGTATTCGACGGAGGCAACCGGGGCTGAGGGATCTGGTTCACCAATGTCATCATTACGGTTGACATCTTCGCAGGACTGTTGAAATGGATCTGGGACTAACAACTCTAGCACCGAAGCGAGAGAAGTGAGATTTTCTTCGACTTGATCCGAAAGAGCTGGAAGATAGTGATCACTAGGTCAGTTCATATGTTTCCTGGGATAGCCTCACACGCTGAGACGATAACAGCCCATCAGGTTTCATACAAAAATGCAGTGAAGGCATGAGTCAACGCTTAGTACAACTCAAATAAGTGGAGTCGACAAAATTTAAAAAAAGAACGCTAATATTTAAAGATGAACAAAAGTTTGGGCGTAGTTCTTCATCAAGCTAGCTGCTGACTTGTTAGGACACTGGTTAAACTGTCCTATCCAGCGGGAGATTGGACCATTTATAATAATAATAATAATCGTTCAGCTGTAATACCCTTCCGGTGCCTAGCTGCCATGCCACCCGGAGGAAGCACGAGGGCTGGTATACTGCCAGGTTGCCCCTAGACAGGGGAAGTAGAGTGGCAGAGGTCGGGTTCGAACCACGGACCTTCAGGTCGGTAAATTCACGCTCTAACCACTTGGGCCACCTGGCCAATAACTGCCAATAGCTGGTTCATGAGTCACCAAAAAGTGGAGTTCATCGACTGTACAAATCGGCCGGTTAGCTCGTGTGCCAGAGGGCAGCGATCTGCAACTATTGAGTAGGAGCAAGATAAGTGAGCACCTACTCAGTGAGTTTCAGTGAGAACAAAATGCTCTGCCTGAATGTGCTTTTCGGGATCAGATGGATCAGCTGTTAGAGCACAAAAGTACTGACTGGAAGGTCCGCCGTTCGAATCCGCCCCGTGGATTTGAACACCAATTAGAATGATTATTACACCAGAACCGAAATGTCCAGTGTTCAAATTCCTTGCCATGGAGTCCGGAGGACAAAACAGATTCCCCGGACGACTCAACGATACATAGAAATAATAGGAACCCCGGGGTTGGATGCCATCTAGCAGCCTGAGCCCGGATCGAACACCTACCGGAAATACGAGTAAGGCACCGCTTTAGGTGTCGACGAGCTGTCACAGCTTCCGCTTCTTGGGAGGCCAATAGCCGCTGTCGTTCTGTAGAACGCTTACGATCCAACTCCAAAAACAGTTTTTTGACCACGATCAGACTGGAGCTGCCGGTGGGTGTGCGGGAAGGTTTGTTCACTTCGCCACTTCGGAGGTACCTGAGGAGACCTTTGAACTGACCACGAGCCACACTGGAAGGAATCCATGTTAGTGTTTGTGTATCGGGAAGAGTGTGAACACCGAAATCTGAGGTGTAGCGTGTAGGAAACCGACCGTTCTGCAGCTGTTCTTCCCAGTCAAGTAACAGGTTGATTGCGAAAACTTGCATCTCCTTTGCTGCACTGTGTGGTGGTGGCAGAGAAGGAGCTTCTGGATCTGCTCCCAAGCAATGTGTTTGTAGGTCCTGAACGGTCAAAGAATTATAAAATGAGTTGAATGCAGTCTCCTGAGAACAACAAAACTTCCCGAATACTGCTTTGGTTGAAGCGGCCGATGGACCGAAAAAGAATTGACTGCCTCGGGAGTTAACATTCTACTTGTCTAAAAAACAGTCATTCAGTCACAAACTACGCACTAAGGGTACGTCGATTCAATGAGCGGCAGATTCATTCACCGATGACAGACAGGGAGGGGATAGCCACTTGAGGGACGCGATGGCCAATGGCTGCGTGATTGGACCATGTCGGACAGTGTTACCAGCATCCACTGTGTTCCGCCCCGAGGAGTTGAGTTCTATGAAAAATTCTTCAACACTATGCGGTTACGTCACGGACCATATTTTGACCAAAAAGAGCTCTATAAAACAGACAGTATCCTGACATACGAAATATGTAGCCGACTCATCCTACCACAGGAGTAAGCCGATGTAAAATAAATAAATTGTTGCGCGAACCGTGCGCAAACTGTCTCTTCCAAAACTACCTTCTCGTTGCCAATCTGGTGCTCTCACCAGAGCCAGACGATGCTTCCAAGACGCTAACAGTCGGACATTTGTAAAGCAGTGTGAATCGAACTGTCGCCAAGCACAACGTGCCATCAAGGACGAGAAGATAAAACAGTACTAAAAACGACGCTACAAGCGACTTATTCCACAAAGGGGCCAAACGTTTTCACGTTACCGTTGAAAACAATTCCACAGCGCACGACCGGTTTCACCCTTCATGGTACTTATCAGGTATGTGCAGTTCCCTTCCTGATGAGTCCAAAGAAAGGGGTAACTTGTCGTCCGCTGTAGAAGACTTTCCGGCGATCTTGTGAGCAGTCTTTGTGCAGCACATTCAGTTGAAGAATAGCATAAAGGAGAGATTCAGATGGGTCCCTCATGAAAACCATATTGATATGCAAATGGGTACATTTGCCAAAATCTGCCCAATTTGAGTTCAAATAGGCCATGAGGTTGACGGAACCTCGGGGACTCCGCCTACCTAATGACCCGCCAACTTCAGCATCTCGACTACTCTTTTCTAAGCTTGGTCAACCTGGCAGTATCCCAGCCCTCGCGACCACTTCTGTTGGCATCGTAGCAGACACCGAAAGGTAGCCATAGCTGAACGATTTCTTTTTTAGTTTTTTTCCGGCGAACAGGACCAGGTACGGTCAACAAAATTAAGTGCAACGACTGCACTAAAGTCTATACAGGACAGACGGCCAAGGAACTTCACACGAGAATCGGAGAGTACCGGAGAAAAATAAACAGGCCGCCGAGAAACGCAGATGAATATCCAGCTTTACTGAAAGACTCTGCAATGGCGGAACATTCACTGAACACGGTATACAAAACAGATCTGGAAAATGTTGAAGTTCTGAGGCGGAGACGACAGTCCACACCACTTCTGACGACCGAGGCGGTGGAAATCGCCAAGCTTCCAGTTTTAATAAAACAGAAGACGTAGAACTAGAAAGCATGTGGAGAACGGTAGTCCGAAAAATACCAACAGTGTGTCCCACACTCTGGATAGATCAGATTGAAGTCACTGCGTATTTAGTTACAAACGGAAGCAGAAAGCTTATTATCAATCAATCACGTCTGTGATGCACATCAAGTATGCACGGTAATGAAACCAGACAAGAACGAACTGATCACATCACGCCTTGAGCTTTGACCAGTCAAACTCCACGCATAAAACGTCATAAGAAAGCGTAAAAAGAACTCGATCGTATATCTCATATAACATGTGTTACCTTGTTGACAGCTCTATAGCTCCGAACAGAGGGATAGTCTTACGACAAGAGGACAAACAAGACACTTGCTAGGGAACAATTTCTTCCTAGTGTCACAATCAAGTCCTTACGAGGAGGGCAAGTTATATCGAAGATTTTACAATGAGCACAACATAAGCAAAGCAGTCCTAGAGCCATTTTAGTCACAGGGGATATGTGGTGGGAGAAAAAGCGTGTAATGCTGAAGCACTGTGTATCTTCTCCAAGGCTCTTTTAACGGTATAGAGAAAGCAATGCGACAACCGTCAAGCCAAGCATAAGTAGTAGCAATAATTTTCCCAGATGTATAATAAAACCAAGTTACGTCCTAGATTGAAAACCGAGGTACTATCATCCTGTCTGGCTTGGCATTGTCAACACAAACATCAGTAGCACATAACCTATGTCCAAACCACTCTTGTTATCAATCAAGAATATGATGTATCATTTTTTGCAAAAATGGTTCAAACAAATGTGTTGAACAGTAATCGTGCACCGATCCAACGCCAAAAAGTTCTAACCCGGATGGGGAACAAACTTGCTTCATACACACTCGACAAAGTCGTGACACGTCGCGTCAGGTGGAAAAAATCTCATAACCTGTTCTTCATTACGCCTTATGAACGTACTTGAACAAGGATAACAGAAACGAACGGCGCAGAGTTTCTGTTATCCGTTTACTGATCGGAATGTCTGTGGTTCGAACCCGACCTCTACCTCTCGACTCCCCCTGTCTAGGCTTGGGCAACCTGGCAGTATCTCAGCCCTGGTGCTTCCTTCGGGTTGCATGGCAGCTAGGCACCAAAAGGGTGTTACAGCTGACCGATTTTTTCTATAACAATGCAGAGAGCTAGTCGCTATATGTCTGTAGTCATATTGAATATTAACTCCTACTGGTGAGTAGTTATTCTTCTCCAAAAAGAACACGTAATTGGCCTTATGGGAAGAGTGCCCTGGTAGTGCTATTCGGTCTTCCTAAGCATTAGTACGAACAGCGAAACTGTTGTGCTACTACTGAAAATAAACAACTTTGTGTGAATCACGTTGGCTGCTGCAGTCAAATCGACTTAGTTCAGCCCGCTTATTCGATTAGTTAATATCTGATTACATCCTTTCTGCTTCTATATCAAACTGTCATCTGGCAAACTCTTGCCAGAATCTTGCAGTAGGCGCGATTTACTTGTGAAAGGAAGAAGGCCTTCGCTGGGGAGTTGTGTTGGGAAATGCTAACTGACCGGTTACAGACCACTGAACAGGGAAGCAAAACTCTAATTTGCATCTTACTTACAAAAACTGGACACCCATCTTCTCCCGAACGAGTCTTCTTGAACTATCCTGGAGATTCATTGACTCCACTCATTCCTCGGTCAAATCCAAGCAAATGTTACGAAGTGACTCCACGAATTCCGCAACAGATCTCTCCTTTTCAAAAGACGCAAAGCGAAATTCTACGAACAACACATACTACTCGCGTGTCTCCCCATCAGTAGTGTCACCGTTACACTTGTAGCATTATCGTAACATCGTGCACCTAGCAGTAAAAAAGACACCATCGAGTGCCAAAAACGACAAGAACCGTTACTTGATATTCGATCATCGAATAAATAATACTCGATTAATACCACTTACTGACAAATGTAGGTGAACGTGGTTCACCATGAAAGAACAAGTTTGTCGTTGTTTTGCTTTCAGGGGCCGGTACCGAAAAGACAGAGAATGTCAGTTGACCTAAAGCCCAGTTAATAGACAATAATTCGGGTTTTCGAGGCAACCATCCACCAGGTACTAAACTATCTTTGCGAGACGTGCTTTTTGTCAGCAGACGATATTCAGAAGCTAGAGGTCAGGCTTCATTGAGGTTCACCAACTGAAATAGATCGCCAATGATGCGGTAGGAGAGATGTTGTTATGACTAGCCACGTCCGTCGTCACGGTGTATCCAACAAAGAACTCTATAATGACTCGAGCATCTACTGCGTAAGAACAATGGTGAAACCTCCACAAGGCATACATTGTCGCTCCGGAGGAAAACTCAATGACTGGCTAAATATGGGCAAAGGGAATGTGGAACAACTTGATCTCTCCAAAGAATTCCATCAATAGGATGAACACTAGATCAAGATTTGAGCAGAACTACATATCTATTGATGTTCCGCGCAATGTTTATCGGAGACATTCCGGAACCTGCTAATTAAGACAAAGTATTGTTGGTAGTGTGAGCAGATTTGAGTTTTTGTGGAGATTTTGTCCTGTCAGTGAAGCCAATCTATGTTGAAAAGCCGGGAAGCAGTGTACAGCTATTTCATCCTTATTGGAAATTATCAGCAGTGCGCATCTCATAAAAGTCCAGAGAGTCTCGAATCCGCGACCTCCCGGCCAGTAGATTGAACGCTTAACCGTTCGGCCACGAGCAGCTGCTCAGCATTTTCGTGAGATGCGCACTGCTGATAATTCCTGGTAAGGATGAAACAGCTGTACGGTGCTTCTCGGCTTTTCAGCATAGATTGGCTTCACTTACAGGACGACATCCCCAGAAGACAAAGTATGCACGATTTTCCAATTTCAGATAGGTGAAAATGTAGTGGCTACACCCGGAATTCGGGTAAAACCGGTCGAATAACTGACCGGACTGGAACAAGAACATGTGACCCTATCAGTAGTGCTGCCAAATGAGCTACGAGTCGAGTTAAAAGGCCCTACTGGGACGAAAAATTTTCCTGCCTCAAAACGAAGTCAAACCTCAAATTCGATTCGAACGTGCTTACAGTCAGTCCGAAAGCCGTGTGAAAAAGCACGGGATGTGCAGACGAGTTAAAGCACTGTAGATCGTATGTGTCGCCCAACCATCAGCGAGCACTTTCAGAAAATCAGGCATTCTTGGTCGTCCGTCGAATTCGACCACAGTCAAATCAAATCAAATCGCTCAGCTATACTGCTCTTTCAGTATCCAGCTGTCATACTACCCGAAGGAAGCACGAGGGCTGGGATGCTGCCGGGTTGCCCAAGCCTGGACAGGGGACATCGAGAGGTAGAGTTCAGGTTCGAAGCACGCACCTTCCGTCAGTAAATTCGCGCTCTAACCACCAAGCCATCCCGTCCATCCACCATAGTAGCCTTCTAAGAACAGAACAGAACAAAAATCGCATCTCTTTTGAGTAAGATTGGCTGAGATTAGTTTACCGAATCTAATGAAACCAATCATAAACAAGTTCCCTCCCCAAGGAAAAATCAACCTTTATAAAAACTGGGGCCTTAAAATACATCGTTTCGCTTGAGAATCGTCTTCGAAAAAAGTAGGCACTGCACAAAAACGCGAAACACAGCCATCGCTTAAATGCTACATATGGGTGATCTCTCTGGAGAATAAAAGGGACGACAGAAGGACCGCATATAACGATCAACATTTTCTATGGATGGAAATATCGGTAGGCACAACCACAAACCCACCGCTACGCTCCCCAATAACGCGCTGATAACGCCACCTAGATTGGTGATGAGACGTTTGCAATCAAATTGCCCAGCTCAGCGAACAAACCAACGACCAATGATCAACATGTCGATGAATGATATTCTCGTGTGAAAAGTCAGCGCCGATATCTTGACAAAACACTACTTATTTGGTTGATGAGTTCTTCAACAGTCCGCTATCGAAATCTCAAATATCATTCCAATTGAAACGGAAGACTGCCTTTGTGCAGCACATTTAGTTGAAAAACATCGATGAAAGATTCAGTATGGATTCAGCTGAGTCGTAAAAACTTAGCCTTCTAAGAACAGAACAGAACAAAAATCGCATCTCTTTTGAGTAAGATTGGCTGAGATTAGTTTACCGAATCTAATGAAACCAATCATAAACAAGTTCCCTCCCCAAGGAAAAATCAACCTTTATAAAAACTGGGGCCTTAAAATACATCGTTTCGCTTGAGAATCGTCTTCGAAAAAAGTAGGCACTGCACAAAAACGCGAAACACAGCCATCGCTTAAATGCTACATATGGGTGATCTCTCTGGAGAATAAAAGGGACGACAGAAGGACCGCATATAACGATCAACATTTTCTATGGATGGAAATATCGGTAGGCACAACCACAAACCCACCGCTACGCTCCCCGATAACGCACTGATAACGCCACCTAGATTGGTGATGAGACGTTTGCAATCAAATTGCCCAGCTCAGCGAACAAACCAACGACCAATGATCAACATGTCGATGAATGATATTCTCGTGTGAAAAGTCAGCGCCGATATCTTGACAAAACACTACTTATTTGGTTGATGAGTTCTTCAACAGTCCGCTATCGAAATCTCAAATATCATTCCAATTGAAACGGAAGACTGCCTTTGTGCAGCACATTTAGTTGAAAAACATCGATGAAAGATTCAGTATGGATTCAGCTGAGTCACCAGTAAAAACTTGTTGTTCGAACACCCATTTCCACTCACGAGCATCGTCAAATAGTGTTAATATCCCTAATCGGTAACCGAACCACTCTACTCTTGTCTCCAGCACGGGGAAAACAAACCAAGTGAGAGTTAATCATACTGCTGAGCAGCGGACTGCGGCGGAACAGTGTGGTTCTAAACTACTAACTGGAAGACAGCCTGGTTGAATTTCATCAGATATTCAATGCGTAGCTCCTTCCCCAATTCCCTCACTTAACAGTCCACTGACTGCTGTATTCGCCAGCCAATTTATTAGATACCGTCTCCAATGCGCAGCTACCTACTTCACCTCCCCGAATCATCGATGGACAAAAATGTGGCAGCTACAACCACTGAACGTGGATCCCACAGCTGATACTAATGACGAAGATGATGATTCATGAGACACGCGGCGTTGGTAAGTTCCAACATCAGCTGCACAATATTTATTGGCTTTTGGCGTAGACAAATCTCGGCTGAAACAGAACCAAAAAGTACGGACCAACGCAAGAACGGTACAGGCCTCACAGCTGACAAACAGAACAGAACGGAATACCAACAAGTTGATAGAACAGATGCTATTGGTTCACCTGCTGTCAGAGGAAAAGGCATAGGACAAGCTAACCGTAGGAAAACGGGAGGAAACGCGAGCGAATCGATCATTACCACTGTCTCTGACCCCATAAGGGCGTAATCGATCCATCCTAACGGTTGTTGTAGGGAATCGATGGATCTGCAAATGGTTGTTCAGGTCGTTTTCTTACTAAATGCAGTCCGCAGCATTACAGTGCATACACACACACACACAAGTACTTGGAAGAAGACACAAACGGAAGAACTCTAATTAGCAAGTGAACTTTTGTTCACACGATCACTGAGGCCAAATTGTGCTTCCTGATTGCAGCTTAACAAAGAATTGCAAACGTAATGCGGAAAAAAATGACAAGTTGAACATACTGCAATGCTATAGCTGTATGTTGCTGAGAGATTTGTAGAATCTACAATTACATGAGAATCTCACTGTTTTAGCTGTCTCTCCCACACATGCAAAAGAACGCTTCAGAAGCATTGCTAACGACCGAAACGCAGACTCATTGTGACTATTCAGAAGCACACTCTGGGGAGAGTATATAACTAGGGAGGCTTGCAGCTTAGGAGCCGATACGTGCAGTCCTCTGAAACATTTTCTTGCCTACTTAATGGATTATGATGAAAAATAAAATAGAATCGTTCAGCTGTAGCAGCACCCTTTCGGTGCCTAGCTGGCGTGCCACCGGAGGGAGGCACGAGGGCTGGGATACTGTCACGTTGCCCAAGCCTAGACAGGGGAAGTCGAGAGGCAGAGGCCGGATTCGAGCCACGGACCTTCCGGTCAGTAAAATCGCACTCTAACCACTGAGCCATACCGTCTCTGAGCCGCCTGATCAACGGTGTGGTCAACAGTCTCCCCCCCAAAATATGGTCAAATATAATCTGAACAAATTAGATCGTTTGTCAAACAAAATGAGTGATGGGGTATATCAATGCGCGTTATGGCTGCGATCACTGTCCATATGTCCGCCCGCATGTACGGGCCTATGAATGTTTTATTTTGTTAGTCAGACATGGAGGAAAGGACATAATCAAACCATTGGTCGATCCCGACAGTCACATTGAGTCCAGTTGGCCGGCTATAGAGAGTATGTTGGTACCAGCCGCCGCATATTCGGTCAGTGAAAAGTGTAAAATCCGGGAGGGTGAAGAAAGTTGCCGATCATTCAGCCGTAACACCCCTCCGGGGCCCAGACATGCTACCAAAAGGACGCATGACGGCTGAGGTACTGCCAAGTTACCCAGACCTAGACAGAAGCACTTGACGTGCTGAGGTTGGCTTCGAACTGCGAAAACGTTCAGCCGTAGCATTCTTCAGGTGCCTAACTGCCATGCCACCCGAATGAAGCACGAGGGCTGCGATACTGCCAGATTGCCCAAACCTAGACAGGGGAAGTCGAGAGTCAGAGGTCGGGTTCGAACCACGGACCTTCCGGTCAATAAGCCAGCGCCTTAAACATTGAGCGATCCCGAGCTAAGACATTTGAGGCTCCATCAGTTGATTGATGCTAAATCATTCGAACTGCCCCGTGAGGCGAGGCTAGGGGCTTCCGATCATGGAAGAAGTCTAGTGGGAAACTGTGAAATGTACACGTATGCACCTGAACAGTAGTGCTCTGCATCTAATTCCTCCACTGCTTTGCAAGAAATGCAACACTCTACTGTCGCGGGCGGAGTTTGGCGAGACTTACGATACACTTTCGTGAAAACCTGATGAAGATGTGTGAGGATTTGAGACGGTCCCCACAGATAAGTTGCCTTATGTATCCAGATTTTAATCAAGCAATGGTGACATGTTGAAACTGTAGTTGCCACCAACGTACTCGGCGGATCGGAAAACAGCTGTAACGCTCCTTGCTTCAGAGTAGCACTGAAGTTGCTCAAATACAGGTAACTCTAAGATGTCTCACGTTGAGCTGCTCACGTTCGATGCACTAACGCGTTACGAACAAATAAATGGAAACCCGCAGACGAGATAGTCTGCAAGGCATAAAATTGACACCAGTTGAGTCCACGAAAGTTTGTACATAGCATTACTTAATACCATTGAAAGGATTCAAGCACCAGCTGTCCCCTCAGAAACCATTTATCTCAAGCTCCAATCTTGAGAGCCAGAGGATTCGAAAAGGATTGAATTTGTGCTGTGCGCTGTCATATGCATTGGAATTTCAATCACAGCTCAGCTGGTAATCCTGTTATGTTCGTGTAAACAAAGTGTACCAGCAAAACTGAGCAGCAAGGGTCCCATAGTTCATGTCACGTGAAGGTAGCTTAATGATGTAAACAGCCAGTGAGAAAACATGAGTAAGTCGATCATTAGTTGTGATGAAAGACGTAAAACCTGGATGAAGTGCACTATCAGAATGAACCAGCAGAAGCGCTATAAATATAGCGCGTAGAAAAAAAGGAGATAGTGTATACTCAAAACATCCTGCCATAAATATCTGTATAAATAAACCTATGTTCAAATACCAAAAGAGTTGGTTCAAAATCCAGACTGGCAGATCTAGGCGATCCACACGTGATCGAATTCATGCGGTCCACCAGATACTCGACAGCTGCAGCACACATCTAAAGCTCAAATTAGAAACTGAGCAACGTAACATTTCTGCCAGCTGGACTGACGGATCACAACATCACAGAGTCATCTTGGGCTGGGCAACACGCTAACTTCATTCAACACGAACGCATGCACTGTCACGGATCGCCTTCGGTTGCGTGCAATAAATTGCCACAGGTGAGACAGTGGATCAGCGAGTACGTCACTTGAAATACAAGCAGACTGAAAACGGGTATCCGGACGGGTATACACCGACAAGTAAAAGAATCCATACAACCTCGTGATGTTGCCTCGGTCACGCCAGAGTTAATCCATCCTAGTTGCCATTCAGAGGTCATGAAAACTCTTGTTTATTAAGCTCTTTTAGAATTAAGGGTTCGAACTATCGGATAGTGCTGCCAAATTATTGATCTCGGAGAGAACACGAACGCCGACATCACTGAACACACCACACAAACCTTGATCTACCAGTTTGACTGTATCTGCTGACCCTGATTAGACATGAAAGACGGATCATCTTGACATACAAATCGGCGAGTTCATCTCATTGGTTACGGAGACCTGTCCAAAAAGCCCAACCTCTAGCTTTCCCTTGGAGACTGAATACGCCGCAGATCCCTTCTGGTATTTTAGTGTTATTTTTACTCCCAAGCATCAGTCCAAGCTACTGCTAATTGAACATTCCTCTAGACAATGAGAGATAATTCGTGGCCAATCCTGTATTTCTCAGGCAAGTCCTTGGTCTTGTTCTTGCTCGTGATTTAATAATATGACGTTTTGAGGTTATGCCACGCACTTCATTTATAGGACTTTTTCCCGTTTATTCTCGTAATGCACATCATTTTGGTTTTTAAGCCTATGATCACAGCTAGTTGCCAATCGACTGAATCAGTCCGCTGTCTGACTTCATGTGACTTTTTCTAGTTGCATGCATTAATAAGCTGCCTCCATGTAGCAAGAACCTTTGCTATCCAGCTTTTCTTGTGTTGAGCAGGGGCCAGCTAACAGTGTAGATAATTTTTGAGGCGCTCTTCGCATGTCTCAAGTGTTCTGATAGTCCTGCCGATATCTCGTTATGTGTCACGGTAATCGCAGATGAATCAATAGACAACCAAAAGTAAAAACGGACGTACGGATTCTGACTGAAAGAGAAGACATAATTGTTCGCATAGCATTTGTTCAACTGAAACATAAGGCTCAGGAAAACTCGGGAACCGCACCTACCTGATGCGCCTCAAGGGGACAAACCGGGTCGTAGACTGTGAAAGAGTTTTCAGCAACATTAGGGGTATTGTGTTAGGTTTAGACACTTGTGTTGCGTCAAGTGCTCGGCGCTTGAATACACCGTCAGCATGGTCGTGAGGAACGCCGGTATAAATACATCTCGTCGTTACCATGGTTTTTCCTTCAGTTTGTAATTCAAAATGAGATGTTTCATGATGACCTTTTTGGGCCAGCAGATTGACATTGATACATCTTGAAATGAATATTGGAAACCTGATTCCTGTGACATCTTGGCACCCGACACTTACGCACTTTCAATTAAAGGCATGGGTTAAAGTACTAGGCATCCAACCTCTATTGTACCATACACATTGACACGAAGTGAATACTGACGGTATAATACCTAGGCACCTAAGTCCCAGGTAAGCTTGTAACTGAAATCAACTTATGCTGAAGAGCTAAGAAGTACTGCACATCTGAGAGCTTACTCAGTAGGTAAAGCGCGAATTTACTGACCGGGAGGTCCGTGGTTCAAAACCGACCTCTATCTCTCGACTTCCACCTGTCTAGGCTTGGGCAACCTGGCAGCATCCTAGCCCTCGTGCTTCCTTCGGGTGGCATGGTAGCGAGGCACCAAAATGGTGTTATAGCTGAATGATTATCCTATTTTACAGCTGTTTCATCCTTATTGGAAATCATCGGCAGTGTGGACCTTACGAATTGCCGAGTAAATTCGAAATCACCGTTACTCGGTCGCTCAACTCCCCAAGCAATCACATTATCATATATAGGTGGATCAAAAGGAAGGAAAATTCGCGTTGACCTTCTGCCTGAGGAGTGATCACTCATGGAACCGGTGCGCACGTGAACACGTGATGTGAATTTCGTGATTGTCATCATCATCATCATCATCAATGACAGCAACATCAGTGTTGGTACTGATGTTGCTGTCAGTCTCTTCGTGATTGAAGGATGGCTGGCGCTATATCCCATCTAGGTTCGAGTAAATCAAACTGTTGACGGCAGCTCATGGTCGAACGGTTTAGTCTTCAACTACCAGACGGGAGGTTGGCAGTTTAGATCGCCCACTATTAATGCTTCCGAATACGGATGAAACAGCAGAACGGTGCTTCGCGGTTTTTCAGCGGTAAACTGGTTTTACCCACAGAACAAGAAAGAGACTCAAACTGTACATCACCCATAGAATCTCACTGATCTCAATTCTTTAAATGGTCTATAGGTTACGCGAGATTTTCAGTTTGACCGTAACAGACCTACATAACGGTGCATTCATAAATGTAAACCAGCCAGGTTCAAAATGAATCCACTTAAAACCGCATAATTATGAAAAGGTGCAACCATGAATGAACGTTTATCTAGTATGATAGGAAACACTTGAATAGTTTTCAAATCCCTCAAAGTAAATTTGCTGCTTTTCGTTTGCCACACTCTTTGAGAGCCCTACTGAGTCCATTGCAGCATAGGCACGCAAAAAGGAGACTGAGGAGAGATACGAAATGAACTGCAGCATCGGGTAGAATCTCATAAGGCCCATTCAAAAGAGCAGTGACGACCATTCATCACGGCAAAGTATCGTCAAAAAACAGGGCAGTCACCAGGAATATGACTTACCTGTAGATGAGTGAGGATCAGATCCCGGACCATCGTACACAAATTTTGGACAGCGGATGGATCAGCCGAGTCAGATGCATGAGCAAGGAGGAACGAGGGACTGGACAAGTGGGACAACAGCTTTAACGACCCCAAACGTATTTGAGCGTGTGGACGCCGAAGTTGAACTGTTATAAGGCGAAATATTTGTCTGATCGTCCCCGCATCTTGGCTGTAACGAAATAAGTGCCTGCACACTAACTGTTTTCCATAGCTTCAGACGTGATTTTCAGAGCACCACTTTGACTACTGTAAACTGATTCAGTAGCATATATGATGGAGTCTTTCATGAGCGTGGAAGTAAGTTATGCAGAAACGAAGACAAGAAACACGGGGCCTAAATTCGATTAATGTACTTTTGATAAAGACTGAAGAAGCACGCCATAGCTTCTTTAGATAAGAACAAGCGTGTATTATGGTAATGAACCAACTGACATTTCTGACAAACATTCGGTCCACAGAATCAACATAACCACAAGTTTTTCCTATTACAGCTCTACGTATTAAGCGGAAACTTCGTAGTATTTATCAAGGGAGGGCTCTTCTTCTATAAACAATCTGACGTGCATCGACATGTTCCCACCAAACCAGATTGGTGTTTCGGAGACACTGATGATCAGACATTTACAGCTTTCGTAAGTACTCTGTGTGTACAGGCCGCGTTTCTAATCCAGAGAGCAGTGTGGATGGCACCGCGACTGTGCATACTGTGCCCTTGACACACTGACGTCATGTTGACGCTACTGGTCTCGTACTTTGGTCTCGACTGGAGAAGTAACCTCCTCTCCAGTCAGTCGATCGGAACTTGTACAACTGCCCAGGTGAACAAGTCGACAGGGTCGCCTGCAAACTTGAAGTTTGGGTTTAATACTACCCAGCGTCGTAGCAGCACCTTACACTTTCTAGGTGTGAAACGTATATCAAACCGCGAGGCAGAATTATCGAGCCAGAGAGAAAAATATCGACCGCATACGCAATGTTTGTGAGTGGACGCGTGTGAGGTGTGTACGTGAGTATTTCTATCCCCAAGGCTTCACAGGCAGCCAGAGCAGTTTCAAGCACCACGCGAATAACAAAGTTGAAGAGGGATCGTGAGATGGGGCAGCCCTTACAACACTGGACGGGATGAACTCTGTCGCATAGAGTTGAGGTGGTCCAGACGCTCCCTATGAATGCATAAATACCGCCGGATTCCCAAACCAGGTCCTTGATGGCGAACGGCCCTCAAGGATAGTAACATGGTAAAGCAAATCCCAACCGTATGGCGTTGGCTGTTGTCGTAATTTCAACTGTCCTATTTGAAATCCGCATGATTGGTGAATGATCTAAGATGATCTAAGATGCGAGGTGAAACGAAGCAGTAATCCCATGAGATACACAGGCCACAAGGTAGCCTAAATACAGCATTTGGAACAAAAAAACCACTCATGGGTCTGTGGCAGCTGATCAGTTAAAGTGATCAGAATTGTTTGTTTACGAATGTCGGAACCAGTGTCTTATGTCATTGTGTGATGAAATAATTCAGATGCTTTGACGCTCTTGCTTGGAAGAAGTTAAGTCAAGCTATGAGTCGAGTTACAAATGAAATGACCCATATAAGGAACAAATGTACAAGCCAAACATTTTCTTAGTTACGGTGTGAGTGGATTTCTCAGTTGAGGGCAAACCCTCATTGTGAATCATGGACGAAAGTTATACATCTTTAGAATACTAAACACATCGGAACACATAACGAGACTCTTCGTCCATCTGTAGTATGTTGGACTTTCTTCTTCCCAAACGACAACGCATACACGATCATCTCCCCACATAAAGACTACCTAAGGACCGAATGAAAAGTATGTCTTCTCGAAAGGAACACAGCGGAAAATAAGATTACTTTAAAAAAAAAGAGGATTTCGCTGCTCTTCAATGCATAACTAGTCTCCAGTAAAATGAATTTTCGTACACTAGCATTTACCAGTGCCATTTCAGCGGTCTCAAGTCATCCGTTTCCCCTGAGTGGGATAATCTGGTTAAAAGAAAACTGGTCGTAGAGAATGTTTGCCGAACAACTCGAAGTAACCGTTACTTCACTACAGCTAAGATTTTACCATGTACCGAAAATCTCATTCGTAGGGGGCCTAAACAGGCAGAAGCTGACGGAGGAAATGCTTCGCGTGGCTGGTTGGGATGAAAGGGTAACTTATTATCTGGTATTTATCATTCCCAGAGGGAGGAACGATGACTAGTCAGATAAACACTCACGATTCGCCAGGAGTCCTGCTATTCCGATTTAGTAAACATCTGATTAGCAGAAAAGGTAGCTTTTCCGCCATTACTTTTCTGAAATTTCTCGACGGGCCTGTTGCAATGAGAACAGACTCGGTTAAAGTGCTTCCTGGATCGGAACTACAGACACACAAAAGCACTATGAATTCCTCAGGGATATTTGCCCTGTGTGATTTGAAACCATCACTTATATTCCAGCACAGAAAGCCAGCGCACTGCGAATAATGTACTCTGTAATGTAGTAGAAATCAGTTCCATCGTAAGGGTCCTCCAACGGTGTGTAATTCTACATAGGCATTCACGTGAACACTAAATCCGCCAAAAGGAGAAATTCAGATGTATCGGATAAGATCAGACAAACAAATGATATATGGTTTGAGAACACATTATTCCCTCTCTGGTACGACTTCGAAAAAACTCAGCACACCCAACCGCATTCAGGAGGCGATTGGATAATCTGACGACTGATGTACAAATCCAAACGGTCATATTAACGCAGGAACGGAAACGAAGAGGGCCCTCAGACACATGGAGTACTGTTCACGCTGGAAGATCACACTCACCAACAGCATTCGCATAATTCTCGCACAAGTGAAATGTCTGGACGAAGATTTCCACATGTAGTCATCTTGTCGACGAGAAAATGGAGTCGGTCCATAAGTGACAATTTGGGCAAAACGGATATCTTGGCTGAAGTTAAAAAGCACAGTGGGACCTTGAGGCAACCAGATTAACTAGTGACAGTAAGAAAACCGAAGATAATGAAGTATAGTAATATATTTTTACAAGTTATTTCACAGAAGTGGGTTCAGAAACCTTTTTCTGTGGTTGGGGAGCATCGGCCTGCTTGAAAGGTTACAATGATGAAGACAAAGTCGTGACGCTTACCAATTTCGTCGTCCATTCTTCGTTGTAGGCACTGTGATCGGGTGTCTCAGTGAATGGGAAACAAAATCTACAGAATTGCCCGGTAAATCAGATAGCGGAGAAACCTACTCTCCCATTTTCAGCAGTTGTCCATAGCGTCCAACATTCAGTGTGAGACAACCTCCTCGCACTGTTGTGTTTCCTTGCATCAGTTGGATAACATCACACGGTGCGATAAGTGAACAGTTTTCGTTCCAAACAGAAAGATTGATTGTACCGGTTCGATCGGCAACCTTGACAGTGCGAACTTCATTACCATCTTTTGTTCGAGTGACGGCTCCTGCCAAGACCAAGATGTAAGTCTACTTTCGTAACTACCCTAAAGACGCACCTAATTCCAGAACAATGAAGATACAATTGACGCGCTTCATATTGGGTTTCAGGTCCTTTAAGAAGCATGATTGTTCCTTCGGATCGACCATTACCCGAAACGGTGGGTAATGAAGTCTGAAATAAAAGAAGTCACACGAAACATTAACTATCCATATCACCGATTCAAACGCATTTAGCTCCGCTCTTCCAGGTGTGCGACGTAGACACAGTTCTCCACGGGTCGTGAAGCCTAATGTCACTCAAAACACCTTTAGGTAATTGTGGCATCACGGCCGATATCAGCAGGGGACCATCGGACCTCCTTACCAGTTGTCTTAGGGATTGGAGACCTAGGCTAAATTCCGATACCCCAGAAAGACGACAGGACTGTAGGTGGAAACTAGTGAGGAATCAATCAGATATAGGTTGCAAACAAACCACTTGCTACAGCACCTTCATGACGCCTGAGTGGATGGAGAGATTCTAAAATGAAATATTGAGGTAGATTTTACCCGAGCCGCAGTTTTCTGGACCATATATTTAAGCTGCCTGTGGTATGCAGCGCCGCCCAAGTTCTATCAACCAACCACGGCCTGTTTCACAGACTTCCAAGCAGCATTTTGCTAGGTGCATGGTGCTTGTGTGACCGTACTACCTACATTGCTTGGGGCTCAGCTCCGGGCTAGCCACCCGATGTGGCTAAGCAGCACTGCCTAATCGAATACCTGTCATCAGCGGTCTGCACCACCAGCTTCATAAAATATTTAAATTCGGACAGAAAGGTCTAAAGGATGAGTGCGCACACTGATTGAGTGTAGTGCTGACCTCATAAAAAATACAGTCCACAAATCGCTAGAGGAACTTCTTCAACACGGAGATTTGGAGATCTTCAAGGTTAAAGGTCCCAGAAGCACTTGGTGCATGTTTTATCCTTGTTTTGAAATATTAGCAGTGCGTTCTTCACGAGCATCTGGGATATCTTACGGAGTGAAGGATGTGGCGTTGTATACTAAGTATGATTTAATCACATTGCTGACCAACCACTTGTGGGCGAGCAGTGGAATGTTCAATGCTGACCAAGGCCTCCGAAATGCCCGCTGCTGATGATTCCCAACCAAAATACACATATGTGCGGGATTGTTCAGCTTTTGTGCGGATTAGCTTTACTATAAAGTGTTTGATTTATTGCGAAACGACTTTTTTTACATAAGATCTTAGTGCGATCAAGTGACAGAATGTCTCACTCATTAGTATGCTAAATCAGTGTTACTTGAGGGTGATTTCCAACAAGGATGAAACAGATGTATACAACCTCTAGGCTTTCCGGCATAGGTTGGCTTTGCTTACAAGTTGCAATCTGAATTGTTGTAGTCACTGGTGACGTGAATACGCAGGTCGATGGGGCTTAGCACTGCTAGGGCTCAACTGGGTGGCCGTGTTGAATTAGACACGAGACGCATAGACGATGCAGAACGCCTACTGCGAGCCTACTACCATCAGTTTCCTGTGGCGAGGATCCCTCAGTCTGTTGCTCCTTCTGGAATGAGTGTATGGACTCCAATAATGCACATGCCTTTTCTACCCTTCATTGAACTGTTCGAGAAACTGAGAGGAGGCAGCATCAGTGGCGTATTCCGCCCGGTATGCAGCAACCAGGGTAAGCTCCTGAGTTCGAGATAGCTCAGTGGTTAAGGAAAGAACCGGGTTGTCCGTGATTCCAAACCAACCGCAGCATTTCGACTGCTCCTGTCCAGACTTGAGCAACCTGGTAGTATTTCAGCCCTTGTACTTCGTTTGTGTGATATGGCATCTGCGCACCGAAAGGGTGACTTTTAGCATTATTACTACCAGTAGTACCACTACAGTAAACATGGAGCACACACCTAGACGAGAGGGAAATTTGTGTCCTCAACCAAAGACCTCAGCTCAAAAAACTGATAGCAAGGTAGCAAATGGGTACCGGCATACTACCATGGTCATCAACATCATCATCATCATCGACAGCATGACGTCAGCGTTCAACACCGGTGCTTCGTTGCTGTACAACCGGGATTTATTTGAGAGCGTTACTGTGAGGAAAAGAATAAAGGTGCATGGGGAAGGGACTTAGTGCTAGCTTACTACAATCATTCCGAGGTGACTACACTTCTAAACACTCATCCTAGCAATCTGAATAGAAACTGACAAAAAGAACACCACTGACATCGAAAGGCATACATATCTTTCAGCGTCTCCAACCAGGCACAGTGAGGAACACGCGGTCCGCATTCTGGTAAGCGAGTAGCATCGACAGCACCCAAACATTTCGTGGTTTCCTTCATACTCTTCTACCAATTCAAGGGTTGGCCACCTCTCTGTTTCCGCCACTCTGAGTTGGGCATGGAAAACAGCACTCTTCAACAAACGATGGTTCGGCATGCACAACACATATCCAAATCAACGCAGCTTCTGGTGTTGGACACATACTTTAATGGAAGTACCAGGTGCACAACCGAAAACTCGCTTTCTAACTGCCTCATTACGGGTTCGCCGATACCAACCCACACGAGCTATGGTTCTGAGACGATTGTCGAACACCTGAAGACGTCTCAGTTCCCCTGATTGAACAGGCCAGGTCTCACAGCCATACCACAAAACAGCCCGCACTGTAGCTTGATACACACCCTGACTGACACCGCTTTGTGGAGGGAAACTCGCTGCATAATCTCACACGTCCTGATGTCTGAGACTATAAACAGCTTATTATGTTCACGAACTTCCGGGTCATTCTTTGATGAGTAAGCGTGTCAAGAAGAACAGACCGGTCAACCGAGTTGAATGCACCTTGAAAATCCAGGAATACTAGAATTGTGAGTCGCTTATAAGCATGGCGTTGTTATAGCATATGATAAAGTGTGAAGATTTGGTCAACGCAACCTCTGCCAGGCCGGAATCCTATTTGCTGCTCTCGAGCAAATGTTTCACGAGCCACCATAAGGCGACGAAGCACCAGTGACGCCAGCAGTCTCATTACGACGGGGGACATATTGATCTTCTTGTGGACACTATACTCATTAGAGCCCTTTTCCTGAAAATAAGCACAACCACAGACCATCCCCAGTTGTCTGGAATAGACTCTTTCTCCCAAATGCAAGCAAACGGATCAGACAAGCGCTGACTGAAGACTTCACCCCCATCTTTGAACAATGTAGGTGGGGGTCATCCGGAACTGAAGCTCAGTGGTGCCTGAGAGAACACAGACAGTCGTAAACGTCCAAGGCCGTAGGCAGTTCCACGTCCAGCGGGGGCGAGATTGCCCAGGTGGCTAGAGCGCACACTTACTGGCCGGAAACACCTTGCGGGTACAAAGTGCATACCAAAGGACGGGATGACTTTAATCGGTTCACCCAAGAACACCTGCGCCTATCCTTCTCTTCGAAGACGAGAACGATGTCGTCCGCTTACTCCAGATCGACAAGGTTTCCGCCGAGTTCATTTGAACACCGGGTTTTTGGAGGCCTTCCTACGTCAACTCTGGGCTGCAGATGAGTCAATCGCTGTCCGAAGTATTCGGCCAACCGATGGAGGCGTTCTTTATTCAAGATGCCAACCTAATTCTGATCCTTGATTGTTTCCCCCACAGATGGTTTCCGGGGACCGGCCACACGGATCAACTGAAACAATCTTCGGACGTTCCCCACTTTCTGGGCCTCTTCCATTCCCTTGGTCTGAGACTATAAACAGCTTATTATGTTCACGAACTTCCGGGTCATTCTTTGATGAGTAAGCGTGTCAAGAAGAACAGACCGGTCAACCGAGTTGAATGCACCTTGAAAATCCAGGAATACTAGAATTGTGAGTCGCTTATAAGCATGGCGTTGTTATAGCATATGATAAAGTGTGAAGATTTGGTCAACGCAACCTCTGCCAGGCCGGAATCCTATTTGCTGCTCTCGAGCAAATGTTTCACGAGCCACCATAAGGCGACGAAGCACCAGTGACGCCAGCAGTCTCATTACGACGGGGGACATATTGATCTTCTTGTGGACACTATACTCATTAGAGCCCTTTTCCTGAAAATAAGCACAACCACAGACCATCCCCAGTTGTCTGGAATAGACTCTTTCTCCCAAATGCAAGCAAACGGATCAGACAAGCGCTGACTGAAGACTTCACCCCCATCTTTGAACAATGTAGGTGGGGGTCATCCGGAACTGAAGCTCAGTGGTGCCTGAGAGAACACAGACAGTCGTAAACGTCCAAGGCCGTAGGCAGTTCCACGTCCAGCGGGGGCGAGATTGCCCAGGTGGCTAGAGCGCACACTTACTGGCCGGAAGGTCCATGGTTCAAACCCAACCTCTGCCTCTCGACTTCCCCTGTCTAGGTTTGGGCAACTTGGCAGTATCCCAGCCCTCGTACAACCTTCGCGTGGCATGGCCGTTGAGCGCCGAAAGGGTGCTACAGCTGAAAGATTTTTTTACGTTCACCGTCCATGGTTCTACGTCAACTCTGGGCTGCAGATGAGTCAATCGCTGTCCGAAGTATTCGGCCAACCGATGGAGGCGTTCTTTATTCAAGATGCCAACCTAATTCTGATCCTTGATTGTTTCCCCCACAGATGGTTTCCGGGGACCGGCCACACGGATCAACTGAAACAATCTTCGGACGTTCCCCACTTTCTGGGCCTCTTCCATTCAGTTGACTTTCTGTGTCAACCACAGTTCACGGTCGGCTCGCACGTTCACATTCACTTGACCTCGGATAAGTCGTCGCATCAAATTATGCTGTGGACGGGCTGGGATATTTCTCGGAGATTTACGCAGGGCCATTGTTCGGTCTGATATCCAGTACTTGAGTGTCTGGTGGTGCCGTGCCACAGCTGAAATTCCCAGCATTTCAGAGGTGGAAATCGCGTCCCAGTATGCGTTCACAACTAATGGTAGAGCATTCGGAAGAGGCTCTAAAAGAGTTAAGTTCGTCTAATACATGGATCTGCCAGTCCCTTAGTTGCCAAGCGATTCATCCGCACCTTACGCGGCTCTGGGAAACGCAACGAGAAGCAACTTGGAACGAGCGCGTGGTCGAATTCAACAAATGTCTTCCAAAACGACCGACAGTCAGTTAATGATCCGCGCCGTTGGTACAGTCAGCTGAGGCGTAAGCAGACAGCAAACGGACATCGATCAACTTTCCACTTGTGAGAATACTTCGCAGACGTTGCCAGACGAACGGCGCAGAGGCGTTATTCAACGGGTGCCCAGTCAAGCAGAGATTCTTCCGCCCCGGGGCGATACCAACCCCTGCATATCCTGCCGCAGCAGCCTCTGGGTCGCCAGAGGTGCGCAGCCGGAAGCAAGTGGGGAGCGATGAGGCGGCTAGTTCACCCGATATGCTTGAGTCTTGAATTCTTGTCTCCTCATTTTCGACTGTATGATTATACATAGTCGCTGAACGGCACTTTAGGTATCACTGACTTGTGTCAACAACACTCTCATCACATGCATGTAGAGACCGTGTAACTCTCCTGGGATTATATTTAAAAAACGTTAGGCAAAGATGGAGTGCGACTGGAACAGACACTTAAAAGAATAATATATTTGGAGCAAAAGAAAAAAATTCTGTGTACACTCTATCGAGAGAAAAAATGCGAATATCATTCCATATACACCCTTGGTCCGCTAGTGGAGTAGCTGACTTTCGGGACCAGAGCGGAGATATCCTCACAGAAGCATAGATCAGATAAATGTTCATCCAAATTACGTTTGAAAATTTGGACTGTTTCTGACTGAACGACATTTGCCGGTAAACGATTCCAAAATGACACAACGCGGCGAGAGAAACTGTACCCATGAGGCACATTGTCCATGCGTGTGACAGTAAGTTTAAATCGATGTCCTCGGGTGATGTTGGTTGTTGGAATGTCAAACAAGAACATCAACTGCGGAAAATGGTTTAGGCACAAAACACGGAAAACATAGATGAGATCAATCCGGAGACGTCTGTATTCAAGTGTGAACAATTTCAGTTTGCTGCATCTCTCAGAATAAGAAAGACTCCGCAGACTGGGAACCATCTTTGTAACGAGGTGTTGGACACGTTCGAGCTTTCGGGCTTCGGCTTTCGTAAGTGGGGAGAAAGCTGGTGCACCGTATTCCAATATAGGCCGGATCATGGTGGGATACAGTTTTAAAACTAACTCTTCCGTCCACATCGAAAAACTTCGCTTCAATGCCCACAAAATGCGAAGAGACTTCTTATACACAGCGCTCGTGTGGTCCTTCGACTTTAAATCATAACGGATTTGAACGCCCAAGTCTCGGATTGATGAGACCGATTTCAATTTTTGGCCATTTAGATGATATACACGATCTGAAGTTGGCTTTCCCAGGCATATATATTCTGATTTGGCCGGGTTGATCGGAAGCCTCCTTTCAGAGGACCACGCCACCAGACGTTCTAAGTCATGCTGAAGAGCCACTCGGTCTTCGTCACACTCAATAGGTTTCCATATCTTAAGATCATCAGCGAATAACAGACTTGCCGACTGTAGGACCCCTGGTAGATCATTCACATGTAGTAGAAACAGAACTGGACCCAAAACCGTTCCCTGAGGTACGCCACTAGGTGACGTATACCAGTCTGTACAGTGGTCGTTTACTCTCACCTTCCAGCGTCGGTCATGCAGGAACGATTTGAGCCAACGAAGTAAATCCCCTCCTATGCCGTAGCCCTGCAGTTTTTTTATCAGTTCAGTGTGGTCTACCCTATCGAACGCCTTACTAAAGTCCACGAATATAACATCAACAGCATGCCCAGCGTCAACAGCGGCTAACCAGTGATGACGAGCAGTGAGCATGTTGGTCACACAAGAACGGCCGCGAAGAAAACCGTGTTGTGCCGGCGTAAGAATTTGAAATTCATCCAGCATATGCAACAGAGCCTGCTTCACGATCTTTTCCAGAACCTTAGCGAGTATGGGAGTAAGGCAGATTGGACGGTAATTTGTGACTCGAGAAAGATCTCCGCCTTTGGGGAACGGCCGAACAACTGAATCTTTCCATTCCTGAGGCAACACGCCTTCTGCAAGGGATTTATTGTATAGAGTCGTGACTGCAGGTGCAATGACTGGTGCTAATGTCTTCAAAATTACGGGATGGAGGTCATCAGGACCGGCGGACTTTGCCGTATTGAGCGACAGAAGCAGAGAACACACCTTTTCGGTGCAACACACCAACGAATCCAATCTAACCGCGCAGGAACCAGTAAGACTGTCTCTTGAGGGGTTTGTGGCATATACAGAAGAAAAGTGGCAGGCAAACTCAGTGGCCCTCGCGGAGTCTGAGGTGATGGTATTGCCATCTTGATCTTGTATGTACGGTAGCTCATCAGAGGATTTGAGATTTCTGTTGACATAAGCAAAAATCCTTTTGGGCGTTGTT